CTTTCCACCATTCCTATTAATACTGTTAATCACTACTTTACAAGTGCTTGATTGCAAAATAAAGGCAAATATTACACAATTATTTTTTTAGTAGTGTAATTTATAGAAGTATAAAGATTCCTTTCTTAACATGTTACTGTAGTTAAATAAGAAGCTACGTCATCATTTGTCCAAAGTGTCATGWTGGGCACAGATTAGAAGTTACATATCCTTTATCTTCCCTCATTAAAAGACTCCCTCACTTCACTGCTGAGAGATGCACTCCTATTTAGCATAGTAGGGGACTTTATTCCCAATATACATCTCAAAATATGTATTAGAGAAAAAGAGAACTACAAATCAAGTAGGAGTGTTTGACTACAGCTTTTTGCTATCCATATTTTTAAGAACTCCCAGCACTGATTAGATACAGTTTTCACGCTGCTTTATGAAGTTCATTGCAACTTGCACACATTATTTCACTCATTTAAATCTTTGACAGACAGACATTCAAACATTTGTACTTTCTTGGGTGGGATTTTTGGTGTTTTGGGTTTTTTTTTTGGTGTTTACAATTGGAGAGAAAACTGCATGATGGTGTATACACTAACTGCTCAATAATTCAGGAAATGAAATAAATATATAATTTATGTCCTTTAGCTGCAAATAAATATGACTATATATACACTCACAAAAATACATTAACAGTTCCCAAAAGCGCTGTTTGCAAGGGAGTTGTATTTAAAACCATCTAATCTGGAGCATCAAGTGTGACTCAGGGACACCCTTAGCCCACATTATAGACACTGCTTAAACATATCAAAGCTAGCTTTAACTTCATTTAGCTGTAGTGCTGCTGGGACTGGAGCTGTAGCATCAAAGAACTCATTGAGAATTGCCACAATCTGGCTGGGAAGCACCATGGACTCACAAAATGGTTTGGGTTGGAAGGGACCTGTAAAGGCCACGAAGTCCAACCCTCCTGCAGTCAGCACATCTTCAACTAGATCTGGGTGCTCAGAGCCCCAGCCAACCTGGGCTTGAATGTTCCAGGGAYGGGGCATCCACACCTCTCTGGAGTGGGGTAAATCCTCAGGGACATAGCCCCCAGTAAAGTTCTGCATTATTTGCACCGCAGCAACCAAATTTGTTTGAAACTAGATCAAGTCAACAGCAAATTCACAGGCACATTGTGCAGGCACATCCCTGATTTTATAGTTGTATGCTTTATTTATTTATTTAAACTCTTCCTGATTTAGTCATTTGAACCCATAATGAGTTTTCAAAACACACTTTAAATTAATTAGCCAACAAATTGCACATAATTACAAGCGTAACTGCTGGTCAGCAGTGCACACTACAAATGAAAACTGACCTCACTCATCAATTCTTTGTTTAACCAAACAGCATTCAGGGAAGATGTGACACCAGGGATCACCAAGCACAACACAAAGAACTCTAGTTATTTTCAGAGCTCAAAAGGCAGCCATTGGTAACTCCTTTACTCCACTGCAATATCAAAAATGTCAGTGGATTCCCACCTCAATGAGCTCAGAATGTCTGTGTTAGAATCTGAAATCCCACTGCCATTAATTTATACAGTCAACTCTTCAGATGAGTGTGTTCCAATGAAAACTGCACCAGGGGCTAGTTGTATATACCTGTTGTATATAAGATCCTGACCATGTTTCCCCTGAAAATTCTGTTTGYAGCCATTTCACCACAAGGGGAAAAAACAGGTCCCAAGAAAACTCAGTCCAACTGTTTGGTCATCAGGGACTAGGCAAGGTTACTTCACAGCGTTCAGAAAAACAGACACTCCCTCTACAGCTTTTCTGCTAGTACTGAATTAGATCCCTATGCAGTAGCATCTCAAGAGTTAAACACAGAATTTGAATTTTATTTCCACCAAAGATTTTTTATAAATAAACTGCTGAGTAACTAAATGAGATACAAATTTTTGAAATAGAAATATAGCGTCTAAGAACATACATGTGGATGGATGCCCAAGAACATATACAACCCCTTTCATATAAGGCTGAGTTGAGGATAGCACTACTAAGTAGTTAAAAAATAAATAYGTGCTAACACAGAATTGTTAAAGAAATATCTGAATAGAGAGATTCATTTTCTCAACTTCCAGTCCCTGGTAAGATTCCAGCCATAAGATCTGGAACAAGCTTCTACAAACACAAAATACCCAAACTAAAAAGTGGCCYCATACAAGTAATCTGGAAACTGCATGAGCTTGAATGCCTGTGGGCATGGCTGATGTTCAGTGTATTCACCTAAGAATAAAACTGACAATTATTGTATATCTGCCAATTTATTAATATAATTATTTCTATACAAATAGATCTTTTTCTTCTTCATAGTAACAATTCAGTGTTTTAAAACAGGCAGATCAATATATTACAAATACAACTACTGTTAGAACACATGTACTAAAATCACAGGAGGTAGCGTTAGATCCCCATTAACAATTACTTGAGAAAACATAGACTATTTTTAAAAGTTAATAAATATGTCATTCATGAAAACKTACTTTTCAGAATAACTCATTCCTAGGTGCTTTAAGGGATGTGTGTTTTTTAAGCATGATAAAGAATGTATGATAGAAACATGTTCTCTTACAGTTTTCAACATAACTTTGCAATAAGCACATAAGATGTGGTAAGTCTTACCCAAGTGGTAAAGACTTCAAATAAACTGGAAAAAAGCAACATTTTAAATTTTTCAAATTACAAAAAATATTATTAATTTGATCACATTTTTTACCTTATGATTACATTTGAAAATTCATCCAACTAACTACTGTTTAAAAATATACCTACACTAATGAAATTAATATGAAGCTTTTCTACACTGTTAATAGTTGGCATTTTTGAATGGCAAAGTATTAATGTTTTTGCAACAACTTACTGCAAAATACAGGCACATAATGCAACCAGGGTATTTAGGATATTAGAAGTGTTTACCATAATCTAGTCATGCTATGTATTTCCCTTCTTTTAAAGAAATACTCTACAGTTTGAAGCCGTGCCTGAGGTACGTGCAAATTATCATGTTTCAGTATTTAACTCCATTTTCATAGTATATTTCTTTTACAGTTACAAAAACAATAGTGTGCCAAGACTTTGAATCATTACATCTGTAAAGATCTTGAGCAGACATTGTATCTTCGATAATGTATTCTTGCTATTGCACATATGCTCAATATGACAGTGACACTCAGGTCCATATTCAATTTCAACTATTTACACATGCTAAAATCATGTATCTGCACATAATGCTGGAAAAGAAAAAATACAGCCTTTCTTGATCAACACACATTGCTCCAGAATTTATGCCAAAAATTTTTTTAGAATCATAGAATACCAGACTGGAAGGGACCTCAAGGATTATCTGTTGACAGCAAGCTGAGCAGCACAGTCAACACTGAAGGGAAGGAATGAGGGACCTGGACAGGCCTGAGGTGGGACTGTGCAAACCTCACAAAATTCAACAAAGCAAGTGCAAGATCTTACACTTGGGTCGTTGCAATCCCAGGCACACACTACAGATTGGGCAAAGAAGGAATTGAGAGCAGCCCTGCCCAGAAGGACTCGGGGGTGCTGGGGGTGAGAGGCTGGACATGCCCCRGCCATGGCACTCACAGCCCAGAGAGCCAAACGTGTCCTGGGCTGCACCCAGAGCACCGTGGGCAGCAGGGGAGGGAGGGGATTCTGCCCCTCTGCTCCGCTCTGCTGAGACCCACCTGGAGCATCCAGCCCTGGGGACCCTGCACAGGAGCTGTTGGAGCAAGTCCAGAGAGGCCACCAGGTTGGCAAGAAGATGGGAACACCTTCCCTATGAAGACAGGGTGAGAAGGTTGGGGCTGTTCAGCCTGGTAAGAGAAGGCTGTGTGGAGACCTCATAAGAACCTTCCACTATTTGAAGGCAGGGAAGCTGGAGAAGGACTCTTCATTCGGAACTGTAGTGATAGGACAAGGGAGAATGGGTGCAAATTAGAAGAGGGTAGATTAAGATTAGGTATCTGAAGAAATTCTGTACTGTGAGAGTGGTGAGGCACTGGCACAGGTTGCCCACAGAATTGTGGATGCGCCAGCCCTGGCAGTTTTCAAGGCCAGGCTGGATGGAGGGCTGAGCAATCTGACCTTGAAGGTGTCCCTGCCCATGGCAGAGGGGAGTGGGACTAGATGATCTTTAAGGTTCCTTCCAACCCAAACCGTTCTGTGACTCTATGATTCCACAGTCCAACCTTTCCCAGCAAAAGCACAGCGAGACAAGATGACCCTGCACCTTGTCCAGTCAAATTTTGAAAGTGTCCGCTGTTGGGGAATTCACCACTTTTCTGGAGAGATTATTCCAATTGCTGATTGTGCAAAAATTTCCTATTGTGTCCAACTGGCATCTTGCCACAAGTAACTTGTACTCACGGCCTCTTGTCTTTTCCATGTGACTCCTGGCAAAAAAAAAGGAGTTGCCCTCTCCTTTGTAGACACCCTCTAAATCCTGGAACTTGTATTTTCTGATTTTATGAAGAACAGCCTACCATTCAGGCTTTSCCTTTATATGGGGTCTAATTCAAATATCAGTGAAGGCAAAAGAAGCCTTATTTAGCAGATTTTGGACTAGGTATAGAGTTCAAATAGAAAAATGATAGAAAGTGTTTATTATAGTAATTGATATAACTGCACTTTGGATGCATCAATATGCTCTCATAGCATTGGTTAAAATACAAAAAAAAAATTCAAAAAATCTCTCCCCCAAACTTCAACTGTTACAGTTCAAGTGGAGCCCTAGGTATATTTATGATTTTACCATCTATTAACTTTAAACATCTATTAACTTTTTTCTCCTTTTGGTCATGACACAAAAGCTCACACTGATGCACAACAGTATCTACAGCAGCAGAARCATATTCCTATCACAAGTGGTGAAGTTATCATACACGTGCATTTCCAAAAGAGTTGTTCCTTCATTTTTTTTAAAGAGTCTTTGATGGTTCAGTGATCACAAATAAGAGTAATTCCAAGCAATGAGTGGGAGCTAGATTTCCACTGAATTTTCTTTAGCTTTGATGAGCTTAGACATCATCAAATATTTTGCTTCGAGACATTGACAGATATCTTCCACCAGGCTGGTACCTGCAGAATCAATTTTAAATATGAAAAAGTGTCACAGGAAATAGAAAAATGAAGACCCATAAAGTCATCGAACTCTCATTGAAATCTTATTCCTTAACTCCCAGTGAATTACAGGATCTAATCTACTGAAATTTGTTTCCATGAGAATTTGATAGTCATTTAATTAAATTCTCATGTGACAAAGAAAACAGTGACAGGAATACTGGGAGTCTTACTAGTATAAAGGAAAGAAGTTGGATGTTTTGGTTAAACAGGAGTTTTTTCTTAAAATCCCAACCACACCAAAAACTAAACAAACAAATGAAAAATCAAAACAATAAACCCAAAMAAACAATGGTATCCAACTGTAGTTTGGATGCTTAACAGTACTTCTCATTGGGTATTCTTAGGAGAAATACAGTACCAAAGACAATGAAACAAATGCCTGCATGCTTACAGGGAAAAGAGACACTTCAAAAATTGTTGGTCAAATATACTTTAGAAACACTGTAAAAGCACAAATAAGGTCCAACACAAGCACACTGTAGCTCCTCACTGCAGTATTTACCAAAACCTGAACAAACACAAAGCCAGAATCTGGTGTCCTGACTGCCCTTAGTGTCCTAGAATGTTCTATCTATTGCAGGAGCTCTAGTTTTGAAAACCAACGTTGCATAAGCTACTTTTAGATTAATTGAAATTCCATACACAATTATTCCTGATTTATTACCTCCATCAAATGAAATKCAGGTTACTAGGGGAAGGTCAATTAAGCTTTGTGGCTCCTGGTTTTCTTTTTAAAGAAGTTTTAGAATGTTCCATTTTGCAAAATATGTATAGATGCCCTAATACTTCAGACTCTGTGCTTGAAAAGTATTTGCTCCAGAATAATTACATATGAATACTAATATTTTTAGYAGACAATTAGTTTCATGCTGCACAGAAACCAATTGCTGACAGAAATTCTAGGCTAGTTCCTCATTAAAGTCTTGTGCTTAAAAAGAACGGATGTGGTGGCATGAAACTAAAGCATTGTCTGGATCAAATGTGAAACTTGGCAGTGCCATTTAACAGCATTCTTTGCATGTTTCTGACCTGGCATTTATTTATTGATCTTACAAATAGAAGTCATTACTGAAACAATGATTTTTTTAAGACTCCTTTAGTTGGGGCAAGTTAARTTTTAGTGAAAATATAGTGAATGATAAGTATTTATGTGTGAATTTTAAATTATTTATCATTAAGTGATTCTACACCATACCCACCTCAAAAAAAAAAAGCACCCACACAATGTGTTATTTGTTTCTTAAATATGAGCAGAGCTTAGCAGTTACATAGGGTACTCCAGACTGAGCAAATTTGGTGTTGCAGTCCCAGCCACAGAATCACAAAATTCTCTATTACAGACAGAGCTACACAGTTGTCTGGTATTCTCTGCTCAGGAAGTTCCGATTTTAATTAACTTTAGTAGTTCCAAGATTTGATACCCAGCCATATTCCTGCAACAGATCCTGTAACACTCAGCTTTCTTTTCTGCAGCCTTTCCATAATGGATTTTATACTGGGAAATCAAGTGAGCTTTCTCAAGCAAGCTTTGTAGGAAATTACAGAAGACCTTATATTGTACATGTCTGAATTGAGGCATACACCTAGATCAGGTAGCTCGGTGTGCAGCTGCAGATTGTGCCCTGAATGGCAGGAAATGGGAGCTGCAGGCAAGGTGCCAGGAACAACTCACGAAAGGGACAGGGATCTGKGGCCCAGCCAGKGGACTGGACATGGACACTGTGCAGGAGCCAAGTGCTCAGCTGGAMGAGCCCAGGTTATGGTGGATCAAGACTGTGAGGGTGTAAAAGCTCTGGGATTCCTTTGTTTGGGATCCCTCCCTGGAGATACCAATTTGAGCTGTTATGCTGTTATGTACCATGATTAAAGGAACCAGATATCTGGGACTCTGCTATGGGAAACCTGTGGTCAAGCCAGAAAGGGAAGCTTTTCTGACTGTGGGAGTGTGGTTAGCAGGGAGTGCAAAGGGGACCCCTCAGGTCACTGGAGTTGCCTGTGGGGACAGGGCTTCAGTCCTAGCAATGAAAGTCTGGGGTGGCACAAGTGTGACTACTAGAGTGCCCCCTGAATGGTCACACTGGGATGTTTCCTTAACATGCAGGCCATTTACAAGTTTTATATGCAGCACTTTTCAGATTATGCCAATATTTAAAGCTACATACAAACTCAAATCTTACTCTGACAATTCTAGAAAACCTGGAACACCTTCAGGTTTTAACTGGTTTTAAACAATTCTCTTATCATGGGGGAGAAGGAAGAAAGAAAAAGAGTTGGATGAAATTATAAACTTTGTTTTCAAAACTTATGATACAGTTGTCATAGGCCAGAAGACAGAAGACATTAGAAACTTATAACTGGAAATAACAGAGAATAGTCCTCACCTTCCCGAGTCTGACTCAAGGGGGTCATCATTAACAGAGTCTGCATTAAAATCCAAAGGTTCTGCATCCTGAAGGAGTTCTATTCTATCTCTTTCAGTCCTGCCATTTGAACGGGTATACTTTGATAGTGCTGTATATGCAAAAGGAAGGAAAGGCATTTATTTACGCAGTGAAGAACTTGGAGTGWATGGACACATCAAATTTTAAAAACCGTAAGAATAATAACTATCTCATCCAATGAAAGAGCACAATAATTTAGAGCAGATTCAACATTAAAACAAACTTGCTCAAATTTGTAATATTTAAATTTGTATCTCCTCAGAAATGCATCCACAACTTTCACCTCTCAATTGAGGGGATGAGATCTACCTTGCAAAGAATCAAAGAAAATGAGAAACTACAGGCAAGGATTACTTTTAAAATAATCTCCCATTCATCTTCCTAGCTTTGTGTTTAAGATATCTAGAGGCTTCTTTTTGTTTGTTTTTCAAAAGACAAWCTCATGAATTACTGAAGCACAGTTGTTTTACAGTTCACTCTGCAACCTTCACTAGGTCAGTACCTATAGATTGTTTTAGTGTTCGAATGCTACATAATCATACAGTGAACATGAAAACACAATTTCATTTAGTCTACCACTAAAAWTCTGGGTTTCCAAAGGTGTACGAAGGAGGGGGAAATCTACCAGCATTTGCTTAAAAGCATATTCAAAGCTTCCCTCCTCCTCCTGCTGCCCTTTTTCCTCCTTTTCCTTCAGTTTCATTTTACTTGCTAGCTTACAAGAGCACAAAAAAACACTCTGACAAACTTTTTGGAAGTTTGAAATATCCACAAAAAAGTATTTTGCTAAGAGCCATTATCAAACGAAAAGTAGATGTACTTATGTGATTTTACGTTTGTTGGTCATCTCATTGCTTCATTAGTCCAAGCTGAGACAGTTCATTTGCAAGCAGAAGAGGTAAAATTTAAGATTCACAACACCCAACTTCAAGATGCATCATAAAGTATCTTTGTTGACAACTGCCACTCTCATGGTGATCATTATATATTCCACAAGACCAAGTAATTGGTCTTAAGAGTAGCCAGAATCTCCGATTCCAACTAGTTGGAGATGGAAAGAAACGTAACACTATTTTCAGTGCCTTAAATGGCAAGGCGGCTCTGAGCCACAGGAGTGAACGTTATCAGCACATCTTCTAAGACAAAAGGGAAAATATTTGGAACTAATTACACAGCCAGTGTTGTGCAGAGAGATACTAAAACAGAACAAAACAAACTTCCCCTCAGACCCAAAAAGCTTACGTCTATTGGCATTGGTCTCAGAGAAGCTGGATTCTTTCTGATCTGTGTGGACTGCTCTGCTTCTGGTGGACTCATCTCTATTTCCATACCGCTCCTTCCATTCCTGGAAAAAAGACCATGAAGGAAAAGAAGTTGTGAAGAAAAAGCAACACAACTGTTCAGCATCCTGACACAGGAAGAATTTTTGTTTCACTTTAAACTTAAAAWGTGTCTCTTCACCAAATCAGTTACCATAACTGTACTTCAGAAAAAGCCTTTTAGAAAACAAACTGCTTCTCAAATCTACACTCAAAGTTCACTCAATTACTCTAAGATATGATGGGAACCACTGCTTTTATTGATTACTACTTCCATCTAGTGGCAAAATGGAAAAATAACGAGATGCACACATAGCACAGAAAATGTTATTTAGTATCAGATCATTTCAGTGTATATTACATGTATCATACACTTGCTACTATTTTGCTTCACAACAAGTTCAAGTTCTAAAGTTATGGGATGGAGGGAAAGGATCAAAAGAAAGTTCTATGCAGTACTGGCTGTCATCTAGGATTAAATTACACCCAAGCTTGAAAAGCAAAGAAGTTTTAGTCCCAGTATTATCTTGCATGCATCATTTCTCTCATCCATCTCTTTGTGACTTTYCATACTAGATTTTGTTATAAACTAATGAAAAACCAAAGCTTCACAAATCTTTCAACACAGTAAGCACAGTAAATAAATGTTCGAATCAAACATTCTGTTTGTTATTCAGCAGAAACTATTAATTCTGTCTTAAATGTAATTCCCTCCTCCAGAAAAAAATAAAATAGAACCTGTCCCAATGACTTTCCAATGAGCATGCAAAACAATAAGTAAGTTTGGGAGGAGTTCACATTTCAGTGAGTATGACGATGCTGCAACTGCAGTTATTTCAAGCAGAGCAGTATTAGTGTAAGAGACTGATAACTAGTCATTTCAGATTATTCTGTATCCTAGAAATCAGAACCCTTTATAAAGCTTCTTATACATATCAGCCAGCATATGCCACAGCACATTGAGTAACAAAAGCATCCAAGTAGTGTCACTAAAATTGTCCTCCATGACCATCTATAATTAACTCCCAGTCAAGACTATTCAGCAAGATTAAACTGATTCCATTAATTATGGGACCAAGTTTTTTGTGAAAGAGAGCATTCTGAATTAAATAGCCGTGGTAAATCCTATCAGATATTGCAGTATCATATTAGAATTAGTTAAACAAATCTCATACCCTTCTTCTGTTTTCACCTTCTTCTTGCCTCTGTCGTTTTCTTTTCTCTAAAAATAAAAAAAACCTTTATTTGTCTGGGCTCTCTACAAGGAAAATAATTTGCAATTTTTATTAAACAAACAAGAAAAATCTGAAGTTTTGGATACCAACTGGGAAAGCAAAAAAAAAAAACAACCCAAAACCTCTTAGAAACAACTGCTAAAGTATGACATTAAGAAAAAACTCCWGTATTTTTGAATAGAGATCTTGATGAAGTTCTGAAACCCTGCCTATGACCCAAACACTTTGCGTCCATATCTGTTATAAAGCTGGAAGTCTAACATCACAGTTTCAATGTCATCATGACCTCTTGTTTAAGAGAATGACTTTGATCTTTCTCCAAAAAAAAATACTACTACTCTAAGTAAACCCAAGTTTTGCTTTTCATTATGGGAATAATGGCACCATAACACTGTGCTCAGAAATCTTAATTTCTGAACATTTACTCAAAAATCACACTGGCTTTTAGCAAATTTTAAGAAACACTTTCAATAAAAATTAATGCAAAATAAAAAGCCAGCCGATAATTCCAGTTCTATATAACAAGATGCTTACCCTAATAAAACACAGCTTCTTGACATAGGACTAGCTGACATAAAACTGAAGGAAATGATTGAATTTGTGCAACTCAATCAACACACTTACAAAAGATTCGTTTGTTGATGTTGATGTCTGTTAATTTAAATGTTACTGTTCCTTTATGACAGATTACACAAGCACCTGCTAAGGCATTATTTGATCAGTAACACACTAAAATAAAATACCTAAAATTCAGACAATGGATTAATAAAATTGGAACTTCATTTAAGATGTCAGTGAAGTCCAGACTTTACATAGCAACCACAGCGTTGTAAGTTCATTGCAGTTTGTGCTGTGGCCATTCTCAGTCTAGCTTTCAAAATACTGAACAGGTAGTAGGGGGTTTTTTTCTGCAATTTTCAGAAGAATTTAATCCAAAAATGTATTATATGACGAGGAAAAGGTTGAGGTACTTAATGCCTTCTTTGCCTCATTCTTTAYGAGTAAAACCAACTGTTGTTGGGGTACCAAGCTCCCTAAGCTGGAAGGCAAAGACTGAGGAACAGAAAAAAAAAACCCAAAATCCAAGAGGAAATAGTCAGTGATCTGCTACACTGCTTCAACATACACAGGTCTACAGGGCCAGATGGGATTGACCAAAGGGCACTGATGGAACTCGTCAAAATGTTCATCAAACCATTTTCCTTTCAATTTTCAATTGGGTCACAACAACCCCATACAATGGTAAAGGCTTTGGGCAGAGCATTTGGAAAGTATCCTGCTGGAAAAGGACCTGGGAGCACTGGTCAACAGTGGCTCAACATGAGCCAGGGTGTGCCAGGTGACCAAGAAGGCCAGTGGCACCTGGCCTGGATCAGAAATAGTGTGGCCAGCAGGAGCAGGGCAGAGATTGTCTCCCTGTACTCAGCACTGTTGAGGCCACACCCCAAATCCTGAGTTCAGGTCTGGGCCTCTCAATGCAGGAAGGACACTGATGTGCTGGAATGAGTGCAGAGCAGAGCAGTGGAGTTGGGGAGGGGTCTGGAGCACAAGTCTGATGAGGAGAGGCTGAGGGTGTTTATCCTGGAGAAGAGGAGGTTCAGGGGAGACCTCATCACTCCCTGAAGGGAGGCTGTAGCCAGGTGGAGGTCAGTCTCTCCTTCCAAAAACAATGAGACAAGAGGAAATTACCTCAAGCTGCGCCAGGGGAAAGGCTGGATAKTAGAAAAAAATTCTTCAGTGAAAGGGTTGTCAGGCATAAGCTGGTCAGAGAAGTGTTGGAGTCACCCCTCCCTGGAGATACTTAAAAGATGTGTAGTTTTGACACTTGGGGATATGGTGTAGTGGTGAACTTGGCAGTGTTGGCTTAAYGGTTGGACTCAATCTCAGAGGTCTTTTCCAGCCTTGATTCTACCGTATCATTTTTTTTAGTATGATTTTACAGGATGACTATGACAGAGGACCTAATTTACCTCTTCTGATTAGCTCTTTTCCTTCATCAATCAAATCAGAGGTCATTTCACTATCCCCCATGAACTGCTGGAATCCCAAAAGATTCAAACAACGAGTTCCTAAACTGGTAAAAGAAGAAGCAATTTTCTTTGTTAATTTCCAGTTAGTAACTTAGATATATTACAAAACAAAATGTTTTATATCCAGAACTGTATGGACAACCCAAGTAAAAAGGAAAAACACAGAAGAAAAGACAGATTGTTATACCAGCTGGGAAAACAGAAAATACAGAACTCACAACAGTAATTGGTGACCCAGAAAAGTAGGGTGACCTAGTTGACCCAGAACAGTAACACATTCCTAAATACAATTGAAAGAGATGAAATAACACTATTCAAACAGAGAGATTAAAATGCATATAGTCTGAGAGCAGTGCAAAGGATTTAACATTAGACAATTGCTTTAATTGTTCTCAGATRTAACAGAATTTATACCTATGTCAACTCTTCTTTGCCAGAAGACAATTCTTACAAAATTTCTGCTTATTATGACTTTGGTGTTTTTGAAACAGTAATAACATAGGAAAGCAACTTTCATATTAAGTTTCACTCAGGAGAATGTGTGTCATTCTTTTAAACTGTAGGGATGCCAGCTGCCCTTTTGGATAGCATTAGGCAGCAGTCAGACAGCAAGCTTGCTTCACCTTTCTTAAGCTAGTCCTGGAACTACATAGCATGAAGCCACTTTCACTTTTTCAACTTTACACCAGAAAACATAACTGCTGTTTTTGAACTGTTTTCCTTCCTCCAAACCAGAGTACTGACATCATGCTCAAAGTCAGCTTTATTGTATACTTATGCTGAGAAGTTTTTTGTTATACTACCTGAGCTTTAAGACTGCTGGATTAAACAAAGCAGACAGCCTTCCTCAATGGATTTTAGTTCAGCCTTCAGTTTTGCATATATCTGAATTAGGAGAGGATATTAAAGCAACTCTCTCTCCTTTTAATTTCTATTCTTCCTTTTCACTGCGGCATTCAAGACCCAGGATGATCATCGCAGACAAGAAGTCACACAAACTGTTTTGTCTTCTTGTTGGCATTCCTGTTTGTTATTTTGTTTGTTTGTTTTGTTTTGTTAGTTTTTTTAGCTCCACCACCACTTTTGTCACTTAACCTAAAGGTAAGCAGGGAAAACTCACAACTAGATCCTTGTTGTGTTACTATCTATACATGCACATACAGTAYTAATGGACACCCAAGGCATTTCAGTAGATTGTACTTGACTAAAAACATATACATTGCTTCTGACTGAATGGCAATGCAAAATTGAAGATATTAATATAAAGGTAGCTTGGCAAGGTCAGGCCAAAAGTATCTCACCCCTTACAGTATTCAAAAGCAGACATTTTAAAATCATAAAGCAAGAATGCAATTTTTCTGCAATTACCCTTCCAACCTCCAACAAACTGTGGCTTAGGGAAACAAGATCAATGCCTCAGAAACTTGTTATGAGTCTCTTAAAAAGTTCAATACCTAAAATTGCTGCTCATGTTTCTTAATTTATTAGAAAACTTTGTTGAAAATGTAGCTTCCTCATGGTAATTTTAAACTCAAAAGCAGAATATACATGTCCCCAGGTGCCAAAGTCTGAACAGATCACCCTTCAGAATCCAGGAATGAAGTTTAATTTAACTTAGTTATGAGTTAATACAATCTATGTTCTCAAAATGCATGCATTTCACCGATATAAATAGCAATCTATATGGTTAAGTTTTGCATTTTTATTAAAATGACACAATTTAACTACTGGAAAAGGAGTACTGAATCTCTTCATGAATTAGATGAAACTAATTTTACTAATGTAAAGAAACATGGAGGATCTGACTTGCAAATCACTTACCTAAAGTATGTAGCAATACAGAGAATGACAACAAGCATTGGGTAATAAATATAGAATCCATCTGCAATGAAGGACAGCACTCTCATGGATCCCATTATCTAGGAAAAAAATCCACAAGAACCAGCTCTAATTAGCTATAGTATACATAAACCCATTACGATTGTGCCTTCTCACATAAATACACCATCCTTTAAAATCACTGCAACACAGGCAATATTATCATCAGAGATCTGATTCAGAATAAGCAGATGTAAAGGCACCTCCAGCAGTGTATCCAATTTGAGGTTTCTAAAATGCTATTTTGTAGTCTTACCTACTCCAGAACATGTGCAAATGTGGTGGGTTTTTCATCTGTTATGAAAAGAGTCTCCAGAGAACACTAAGCATCTAGTTACAACAAGAAAGATTTGAGACATAACTTGCCACAGAAACTGGTTCTTCAATAAARCCAAACTCATTGGATTTCAGTAGGAAGTTAGGATTGCTCCCAATCTGTACAGCCCCACATGTTAAAGCCAGTGAAAGCTAAAACTAGTAGCAMTTTATATAAGGAAGTGAAGGACAACCTGAACTCCAAACTATAATACTTCACTTTCTTMAAATAAAGAGGCAAAAAAAAAAACTATTGATGATGCCTAGAGATCATTACCAAGCTCCTGGTCTATAACCAAATTTCTTACCCTGCTTAATACTTTCAAGAAGATTTGGACATTTGAATCTTACTATAAGATGTACTTAAAAATACCTGGCCTAATCTTCAAACTACATTGAAAGCTCAAACCCACATTTTCTTACTTACAGATGTGTAAGCAGTTGGCTGMGTGTTTTTGTGAGAGATTGTTGCATCCATGTGGGTCAAGCCCAGAAAGTTCAAGCACAATGGTGGAGTAAGACGGCAAAATAACCTGCAAAAAGGCAAGAGGCAACAGCATTTAAAGGAGTTTCYTACATTAAGTGCAAATCATAACTGGATCTCTCACAGAATGATATACAGTTCATTAGGAATTAGACAMATAAATTACAAATAAAATCATGTAAATGAAAATTTCATGGACATTTTCAATTCATATTTGATAGAACAYTTTAAAACATATACCAAATACTCACATGCCACTGAAAAGGAGACTGTATGCATCTGTCTGATGATGTGAAGCTAAGTAATAATAGTTAAATACACGGATCCTGAAGACAGTGGAGTAAACACAGATACTCAGGAAAAAGATGGTAAGAAAACAGGCCATCTAGGGAAAAAAAAGAGTTGTTAAGTWGTTTAAATGCAGAACTCTATTAAAGGTTTCAATGTGTTCAGCACACAGCCTGTCACATGCACAGACCATCTCCAGSCTTAATTTTTCATTTTGAGATGGGAGAATGCCACCAGCTCTGAGAAGAGTTTCAGGAGGTTTTCTGAACAATTCAAACTGAAAATTATACTTGTAACATTCTACAAATAAGCTAACACAGTTGACTCTAGGAACACTATTACTTACTATGCAAATAAAATGGTTGTAATTGCCTCAATAATTACTATGACTTGTCTGGCATTTCTTCCCATAAAAAAAAAGCAATTAACCTAAGTGTTTTCATATCTAGCTTTTCTAAGTATACTGGACTTTTTTCAGTTCAGTATCTTTACTKATAAATTTGTGCACACATATGCTAGCCACACCTGTAACTGGTCATCAGGAATTCCGGTGTAGTAAACTAAGGACACACACATAGCTGATTAGACAGCAAGTCTAATGAACACCTATGCTCCAAAATAATATTTCAGAAATTACTCTACATATGACATTCCTGCCAGCTGGGCCATGCCTTCATGTGGTGTTTGAGAATTTTAGGAAGTGGCTAAAAGCAGACTTCCTCCACAGAAACAAAGTTTGGWACTGTATATTTAGACACCTTCTGAAAGTTGATGGATTATTTAGCGATTTATTTTAGAATCTATTTGATCTACTGTTCTTATCATAACCATTTATCTAGAAAATATTTTTGTCAAGTGATTATCCCCAACTTACCTCTATGTATATATAATTATATGTCCTTTCTGCCAGCTGTATGAAAACCGCAAATAACGACAGAACTGGTTTTGTGCTGAAAAATGTGCACTCTGACCACACAACAATGACAGAGAACGTGGCCAGCACAACTGCAAGCACTCTGCAAAACCATGGTCGTAGAAGRCATTCCCAGTACCACTCTGGAAAAAAACAACACACACACACATCCAGAACAGGTTAATGAAAATTACAMAACCAGAAACAGAACTCCCTCACAAGACGCTTCRAAGTTTTCTACTGCTTTATTACAGCATATAACTGCTACTAAATYTGTAAATAAAATTTAGGCTTATGGTCAAGAGCATAAATTCGTATCTGCTAGCTATTCCATTACATAAACGCATTAATACTGTGGACTTGCTTCCTTCTATTGCAACAGAACTTCTTACATAAAACAATTGGTTCTTTTTATGGAATGTATCAGTTATGCCTTGACATACTCAAAATCTGCATTACAGTACTTACCAACCGTTGGTGTGTAGAAATACTGAATAATTTTATTCTCTGGTTCCTGGGAATGAAAGGTATGAACAAACTGTCGAGTTGCACTGCTTTCATTTTTTGCCACATCTTCTAAGTAAAATGCTTGCTCTAAAAGAATTTGCCACTGGACCTGTGTACGACGATGTCTCTGCACTGAATAGATTACCTACAATAAATCACAATAAATTGGGTTACAAGGTACTCATTTCAAGAAATGGCAGAAAATTCTTGCAAAATCTCTTGAAAATGTGTGAATTGCAGAGCTGAAAGACTAATTCTATATATTCATAGAAAGTAGGTAGTTAATTCTCTAAATACATAAATCACWGAAGAACTACATACATGATTACTGAGTTTTGCAGTTCTTTCATCACAAACCATCTGTAGCAGTAACAGCCTACTTTTTCTAACCTACCACTTTATTTTTGCAGTGAATATCAGGCTTTTACTACAATTTTGTYTTCAGAACACACTGTCAATCAACCATTACAAGGCTTATTCACGGACAGCTAAAATACTACCACAGTAAAACACAAGAAGAATACTTTTTACWTGTCCACAACTTTGATCACTTGGGATATTAAAACTTCTGTGCTTTCTTTCACCAAGAAAAGTTTCTGTTAAGTAGCTTAAAMCCACWGTACTCAACAATCCAGATGAAGTGCATTCAAAATCTTTGACAAGCATTTACTCTTATTACATCAGCATAAGTGAGGCATTCACCCATCTATTAATATACCTGCTTGTGAAGTTTGGCCAGACTTTTTTCACTTGGATAAYTGTTCTGTCTTTCATCAAAATCTTCATAATCATCCATGTTTCTACCCATTCTTTCCTGGTACTCAGTAGGGCACTGGAAGGAAAAGGGAAAATTAGCTGGGAGATGAAGGAGTAGCAAGCAGTTTTTGTTAATTATTTGTAGATGTTTGGGGCATTTCAGGCAACGGAAAAGCTCAGTCTAAGCATTCACTTTTCTCTTTCTACAACTTTCTCTACAACATTTCTCTACAACATTCTCAGAATACAASTATAATTATGTATGTCATAAGAAAGCATTTCACAAAGCAATTCCCTTCAAGAGTCTCAAAAGAAATTCAGAAAATGCCAGTAGAGATTTTGTAATAAGAGGAAAAGAAAATAAYGTACAAGTATCTGTATATGCAAGAAACACCTCCTGCCAAATGAATAATTATTRTTGAAGATGAGCAATTGGTTACCTTTTTCAGTATTGTATCAACACATTTCCTCAAGGGGTGGTTATATTTGATACTCTCACTTACTTTACGGACTTCCTGTTGACAGAAAAAATTGCAGAGTAGTTTAACTATGCTTAATTAAAATTGTCAATTAAATAAATCTTTAATACATTATAAATTTTTACTGGTSAGTTAAGAGTTGCAGCCCTCCTAACTGGAAAAGATAGCCATCAAAGCTTAAAAAAAATACAGCTTCCTAAAAGCCATTTCTTTACTAACCRKCTCATAAAGGGTGACATTTTAAAGKAACATCTATGTACTTTTTTAAGAAAGAACCTCAGTATGCAAACACTACTATACAACTGTGTGGAAGATTGGTTTCTATGCAGGAAGGCTGAAATGGAAAACACTTTCTTGTTTAAGTTGTAGGCAAAAGGGAGATAAAGAGCAAGTCCCACGGTCTGATTAGGGCATTGACCATGGCTTTAGGATGCTTTCTCCAGTGTGAGATCACCCACCACCAATGTGGTAAGGAAATGCTTCCCAGTGTCCAGTATGGACCTCTCTGGGTGCAGCTTTGAACCACTACTATGTGTCCTATCACTGGATACTAGGCAATAGAGGTGAGCATCTCCCTCTCCAGGCATTTGAACAATGCTCTTAGTAATGTGCTTCAATTTTTGGTTAGCCCTGAAGTCAGACARCTGGATCAGATGACTGTTGTTGGTCTCTTCCAGTGGAAATACTCTCTTTTAAGTCCTATTCTGGTAAAAAAAAAAGTCTTCATTGCTCATTTCCTAGTAAGTTTTGTAGTCCCACTAAGATGTTTTTAGCAGTTTCTTCAAAATGCTATTACTGATGAAAGAAGAGTCTACTACTGATTTATACTGATACATATTACAAATTTCCATCCTACCCTACAACAGTTCATACATATTATTCCAAGCCAAGGTATCCCAGCAGTATTCCTGGTATTCCCAGAACCAGGAATAGCTATTCAAAAGGCTGGATTTCCACTCTATTCCTGTACATTAGAGTCTATTGCTCACTGACACCTAACATTAGAGTCTCAACAGAAACCTGGAAAAAAGCAAATATCTATACATATTCTTCTAAAAAGCATCTAAGTGTGGCACCATAATATGGAAACTCTTCTCAAGATTTCAGAAATACTCCTTGAGCAAAGCATAAAAGAAGTACACAATTTGAACACCAGTGAAACATCKGTACTGACTATTCAAGTTCACTCTGAAATATTATTTGTACCAATATTACTTCAAAAGGGTTGATAAAAGAAYAGACTCAACAAATAATGGTTGTCAAGTTGTTATGACTTTTAAGTTCTTCTCCACAGCAAGGACTATTTGTGCTTTGACTTCTTCATGGATCAATTGTTATCAAGTAGCACACTATGATAATTTTCTTAGTATACAGATATTTCACAGTAAGCTCATGCTACTTATGTTTCCTTGCCACCAGCTAATTCAGACACAAGTAACAGCAACCTTCACTTTTTTCATAGTTAAAGCTAGTTACCTCCATAATATCCTCTAAATTCTCTTCTGCATCTGCTTTTTCAGTCATCAGTTTAGCAGCTTTGAAATAAGTCTTCATGAGCAGATAACCCCTCTTGGCCCCATTCCAGTGAGAACGAGGGATTTCCACCAAACCGTAACCCAAAAGCAACACAAGAAGGAACAGACCCCATGTGTTTGCAGCAGCTATTCCAATAGTCTGAAGTTGGTTCCTAAGGAAACATAACAGTATAAAAAACCCAAACAAACAACATCCTCTGACCCCACCTGCAAGAAAGCAGCCTTGAATGTGCACCAATACGACTTCCACATTAACACGAACAGACTCAGTATCACGTAAATTTTTGCCTAGAGCCAGTCTGCTACTTATGCGTGTTTAAAGCTGCTACAATTTTCCTGTCTCTCCCATATTTCTGCCCAATATGGAGGGAAGATAAAAATTTATTTTGTTAGTTCTCAAACAAACAGTTCTCTGAAGRAAAACTTTCCTTTAGGAAACAACATGAACTTATTAAACTTACTGAAAGTGTGGTCAAAACAGCATAATGGTAGTCACTGTAASAAACAGCCTCAGAAGCCAGCACTTGTATTAAGAATATTGTTTTCAGAAATATGTATTCAGATTTGTATTCCATGTAGTATGGAAGATTRCTAGCAATTTACAGATGTTAATTACTTTAACTTTCCTTTCCACCTTTGAAATCTACAGCATTCAGAAGCACTGGAAATACTGATCTTTTTAAACATATTGCTCTGAAAACACTGAAAGTTTCTGCACTAACTTTACAAAWGTGCTTGTATGGAGAAAAAAGCACTATTGCAAATACAAGAGGATTCCTCTGCTGTACATATCAAATTCAGAAAACCAAAGACAAAATTTCTAGAAATACTCAAAAAAGCTCCATTTCATATAAAAAAGTTAACATAACTTTCTAACTGCCTAGCAAAACATTAAGTCAACTTAAGTTTAGTTTAATTTTTTCAGAAAGACCCATTTCATCCACAGAAGAAATTATCTGTGAATTCTGTAAGAGCTCATGCAAATGTGTACAACACTATTCTTACCATTGTAAATTGAAGTTTGGGTTTACAGCCACATATATTAGAAATGCTCCAAAAATCAGCAAGTAAGTGCCATAATAGATGGCATTCTCAATCAAAGCAGTTTTAATCTTTCCAGTGATGGAGAACCCTCCGGATCTAGCATATGACTGCATGAAAGGTAGCAGAATCCTAGAAGAAAAGAAAACAAAACAAAACCACATCAGCCAATAAAAAAAAAAAAAAAAAAAAAGAGCAAAAGAGAACAAAGAAAAACCCCAGCCCCCAACAATAAATCTACCAAGCACCCAAACCATCAATCCCTCCCAAAAAAAGTACTTTAGCAATGTCAGGTTGCTGAGACACAGGTGTTAAAGACTCCTAAGCTTCTAACAAATTAGCTACTTATGTGTTTTTATTCTAGATGTACCTGTCTGATGGCAAACCTTAAATAAGSTGCAGATAAAAACAATACAGTTAGCTTTACTACGAAAAATCTATGATAAATAAGAACCAACTACCAACCCTGATATCCTTGAGTAACTACAAAAACAATTATTTGATGACATGTTGGTCAGAAACTACAAAAAGCACAGACRACCCAAAACCCCATAGACAATCTTTTTACTGCAGCTATATATATAGCTTTATACAATATATCCAATAAAACAAAACCATTTATCATAATATTCTAAAATTTCCCAACTTATTCATGGAACTTTTTCAGTATCTGGTTGCCTAAACCCCATTTTTCAAGACAATCTATCCAGAAAACCTACATGTGTAAACTGCTCAGTTTCAACCACAAAAGCAAACCAAGGGTAAACAGTTGCCACCTGAAATTTGCTTCCGCAGAAGCAAGAAAAAAAAGAACATGCATAAATTAGTACAGTAGTTATTATAGAAATTTCACTGCCAGCCCATAATGCACTATATAAAAGCTCTTTGCCATACTGATACACAAATTTAAAGAATGTTATGACTGGCGCACTTAAAAATTATCATAGTCTTTGATATATTCTTCTGCCCTACTTACCATGTTAAAAACTGAGATGTCCAATACACAACACGCCAGAAAATTGGCATAATTCCATCAGGAATATAACTCCAGGGTTTGAAACATTTTTGTTTGCTGTTACAATGTAAAGATTATTGTCAGTTGCAGAGCCATGAGTACAAAACACATTTTCTATAAATTCCTATCCAGAAAAGCCCTTGAAAACAGCATAGAAGGTAGTACAATACTATTCAAATACATAGTCAATAATCATTCATCTCCCAAATAAATAAACTGAATGATGACATAGAAGTATTTATTTTATATTTATATTTTCCTAGCCACAAATAACATATCTGGACAGGACATCTCTCTTAGAGAAAAAAACAGAAGCTCAAACACTGAAGAGGAATATTGAACAAAGAATTTTAAGGTTACAATTTTTGGTTTTCGGTAGTAATTACTTCAWACACAAAAAGAACACTTTTTTAGATAGAGAAGCACTGAACTTTAGTTAATGCAGCATATTTTTAAAAATATCTAGGGACATCATCACCTAAAGTATTCAGCTGTACAAAAATGTACTAGTCGCTTCTTCTGTCACCCAGCAGGAGAAAAAAAAAGAAAAAGGGRGGAAAAAAAACCTAAAGGAAAACCCAACCAATAAACCAACAAACCCCAAAAAACAAAGTATCCATCTACACTAAGGCAGTTTGTTTTTTAACACACACCTGTCCAGGTAATGAAGCAAGGGTGAGTCAAGGGGCAATAAAGTCAACTTAGATAGGATTACCTAATGAGAAATAATTGGTGTTTTCCAGGGTCAAACTAGTTAAGCCTGAGTTGTTAGTTTTTATGTGCACAGCCTAAATATTTTCAAAACTATAAAATTAAGATAGAATGACAGCTAGTATGACTAAAGGTTTCAGCATCTCCAGAAGAGAATGTGCCAGGTAMCTTATAGTATCTTCTAGTACCGAAGGCAGCTTATGAAAAAGGAGGGAACTGGACATTTGTATGGGCAGAGAGTGACATGACAAGGGGCAGTGGTTTTAAACTGGCAGATGGCAGGTTTAAATTAGAGATTAGGAAGAAATTCTTTACTGGTGGTAAGGCACTGGCACAGGTTGCCCAGAGATGCTGTGGATGCCCTATCCCTGAAGCGTTCAAGGCCAGGCTGGATGGGGCTCCAAGCAACCTGGTCTAGTGCAACATGTCCCTGCCCATGGCAGAGGGTTGGAACTGGATTATCTTTAAGATTCCTTTCAATCCAAACCATTCTGTGATTCTATGAAAAAAGTCTGTCTGAAGCTGTAGGTAAACTGACAGGTTACTGAACAGTTTTCAAATTGTGTATTTACTGACCTTCATTTAATTAACACACACTGGGTAGTCTTAAACAAAGTGCRCAATATTTTGTCATTAGGTCTGTCATTTTACCATTTTACAATTCTTCCAGGCCCTGGAAGGAGCAGCAAGACTGGCAATACTTTGCACAGACATATCAGCTGACATTTTAGAGGCTCTGATCATCTTACAGGTAACTACACTGCACACATCAACAACACGGGGACAGCCCATACAGGCAGCAACAGAAAGAGCCCATATTAGCCTACTTCTCCATATTTAGGGATTGCTTTCTTCCTGCCAGGACACAACAAACAAGCTGTCATTACTTTGGTGGAATACAGTAGATTTCAGATAACTCCAATTACTATGTATAYGTAATTACAATAAGCAATTAGATACACTGCTTAGTGTAAGACAAGCTGATAATTTCATTTATAAGTTATAAAATTAGATTTTYAGGTTTAAAGTCTAAGATTGCGAAGGATAAGCAGTTACTCATAACCCRGATTGCTCAACAAGCTTATCCCTATTTATTTAACAAAAAAAAAGGAAATCTAATGCCATAAAAAAAGAATAGTTGGGTAATCAGCTAGAACTACTATGTATAATAACTCCCAGCAGATACAGATTCACTTATCCTCACCTCTTCCCTCACTGTCCTGTATATTCACAAATTTCAAATTTTGCATCACACATACAGATAACACTTGTTTATTAGTTTTAAAAACAYAATATACTCCTACCAATTAAAAAAAGAAAATCCTAAAATTCACTCTAAAGAAAAAAACTTGTAACTCATACCTTGGAGCAAGAGTAACGTAAGAGCCATTACTTTCAGCAGGACTGGAGTTAACCGCAAGTTTGCATCGATTATAAATAGTCTAAAAGACAATTTATTTTGTATCAGTGACCCAAGACTTATTTAAAAATAGTAAGTCCTATTTTAACACATTTCCTGCACTTCACATTTACATAAGAAAAGTTACATAGTACAAATTGTTACATAGTACAATAAACTAATAAACATTCTAATAAACATTCAAAACAACATGCAATCTGCAGAAGTATGTAAAATGCTGAAAGTGTCTTTACAGTGCCTAAGCAGATTAAAAATAGTGCTATAAACAAATGAGGGACGTGTAAAATGTCTGAAATAGATTTGTTATCTAATGASATAAATGAAAAGTAAAATTAATTATAAACACAGATATTGTCATGTTTATTACRAAACTACATAGATGATTTCTTTGCTCTTCCTAAGAAATGGTCTTTCAAAATCTTTAACTTAGAGAAACACCATGCACATTTGATGCAATTAAGCAGGATGTCTTGCATGTTTCTTACCGTACTGACATCCAGAGGCAGTATGAAYACAATCAGGAAGCAGAGATACCAAGCCAATAGTGTTGCAACGATCACCAGCCTATGCTGTTTCTTGAAGTCTCCATATCGGTGAAGTAGGAATAAGGCCAGGAAAAAGACAAACACTATCTCRAGGCCCAGCGCTGCACCACTCATTGTTAAATGTTCACTCCAGCCACACCACACTCACTTGGGAAATTAGATCAGAACTGTTAAGACAAAAAGACATTTAACTACATTACATTCTCTGGAAAACATTTATGCAGGAGTTGTTCAATGGACATTTTCAAACATATTAACCAACTTTCAGTACTTCACATGACTAGGACTCTGATCAGACACAGATTTTCAGCAAGGTGCTCTGAAGCCCTTTGCAGAAATCAAAGTATGTCATTCCAATGCTGTAATTTCCAGTAATGTATTAGGATAACTCCTGTTCATCTTCTTGATATACAATAGACCCAGAAGGCAAATCTCAGCCCCTGAACAGACTACTAGCCCAACTTCAAGTCTAGCACAAATTTCAAGAGAAAAACCTATTCTGCTCTTTTTTTCCCCCTTTTAGAAGTAAGCAACTAATTTGGACAAAGGGTTAAATGTTTAAATTAAGTGTTTCAGGATAGCTAATGAACAACTTTTTTAATGGAGCGTTACTTCAACTACATATTTAAAGACTATACACAAGAGTTAACAGAGCATAAAAACACAGTMAAGTATGTGTTAGTCTATTTGTAATGTACCTCTTCTAGGTTTGAAATTTCAAGAATTTCAGTTCACTTTCCTACTCCTCTGGTACTCTTGAGACAAACCTCAATTCTTTTGGTATTAGTTTGCCATGATGYATTTTCACTTTGCTCATCCTTCTGGGTTTAGTTACTCTGTTACAATCAGAACTGCTGCAAGTGCCTAGAAMGTCCATACAGCTTCATACAGACAAGCTATTATGCAAAGTGACAGTGAACTGCACAAATCCATTACAGAAATTTTCGCTGAATTGTTACATTTTAATTGAAACTGCCTCAGACCTTTTTAATAGGCATCCTTTTACTACAGGCATTTCATGCATTATTAAAAAAAAAAAGTTTATTACTGTGGCCAGTCTGATTTGCTTCTCCTTCAAGATTAACATTTGGCTGGTTTGATTTAAGCGAAATAGTATTTGCTATGGCTTTTCCACTGTTAAGACTTTCAGTATTTTCACTTTTCTAGAGATTTAAAAGAAATGCTATTACTAAAATTCCTCTCTACTTACTTTTAAATCCCTTYAAAATTTGGTAAAGTGAACCATTTCTTTTACTAATTTCTCAGTAAACTGCTTAAGCAGATGTATTATGCTTGAGGGCACTAAGCARTGAAAACTCTTATCTGCACTAAAAAAATTCAAAGATTGTGATGCCATTACTGCCTTGAGGATGYAGAACAACTATTCTTTGCTTTTCTTTTTTTCCTCAAAGAATTTGTTTTTCTCAATTTTCCACTTCCACATTTGTGTTTCAACAGTAAGAGCATGTTTAGTCCACACCGGCTATTATACACAGAGCATCCAATATTCCAAAAATAAGTTACTTTCCTGTTTCTTGTCRAAGATGCACATACTTTACCACCTTTCATCAAACATTTTTGCCAAACTGTCAACATTTCCATTAGGACAAAATAACCCCTTACTATCTGTCTGTACTATACTTTAGCTAGATCATTTGTACAATCAAAATCCAGGATATCTATTTCTTAATCATTCACTCTAAGCAAGTCCTTGGCTGTTCTATTGTATCATTCTTGTTTCCTCAGATAAGTCTTTTGTATCCACAGTGTAGCAGCAAATTTCACAAAAACAAAAACAAATAAAAAAAAAAAACCAAAACCAAACAAACCTAAAACAATTACATATTGACCTCATTAAGGCACTGCTATCTGGCATGTAGCTTTTAGTGCCCATTACCGCCACACCTTTTGTTACATAAACAAAATAATTATACAGCATATATTTCATTAGTCACAGTTTTACTACAGTCACACCTAAAAAGCTGCTGTCAAAACAGAAGGTAAAAAGTTTTTGAGTGAGATGCTGTACTAGCTTCTGTCATGAGGGGACTTCCATAAATACTTTTAAAATGTATTGAATATGCTAAAATAAAGAGGGAATTGAATTCTACCACAACTCAACTCACTTTCAAAGACAAACATGACTTTGCAGCTATCAGTAAACCAGGTCTTTGTGTTCTTACCTGGTTCCTATTTTAATCACAAAACACAAGAAGAAAGGCCTATTTTTTCATAAGACTGCGACTAATAACAGAGTTGTTTTGAATTAATCTATACACATTTTCAAAATAACAGTTTAAAAATTTTAGACAGAAATCTAAAAGAAGCTCTCCACATAAAGAGATTAAACGGGAGAAAATCCACAAAGTGAGAAATGCAATGCTTGAGAGGTRAAATAAATCCAGCCCAAGTGTGAAGACATATTTGGGACCTGAGCTACTAGAATCAGRTCTTAAAATACATTACTGCAGGCTATAAAGCCATGTCTTCCTGTGGAGAGCAGCATTTGCCTTTGAACCTGGTTGCTAGTTCAAAGAAAGGTAAGCTCCTTACCCATTATCCTGTTTCTTCACTTTRTTTAGACATCCATCTCACTATTGGCATACAGCTACCCAGTATCACCTAGTTGAAATTGCAGAATCTCTAAAAAGATATTGTCCTGAAATAACTACTTCAGAAGAGCTCTCTTGTACTGCGCAACCTTCAGCGGCTTAGATGATGCTCCTACTAAAGCAAGGACAAAGTAACAAGAGCCCTCACGATGAATGGAGAAGTATTTATTGAGATACTTAGTTTCTGATGAACCAGGCAACTACAGATTGATACAAATAAGATYAAAAACCGAAACACTGGCACGGGAAGTGCAACATAACCAATGAAGGACAAGTACAAGCTCTTGTGTTACCATAGGATTTTCGGCTTTTCAGACACAGACAAAATCAGTTAAGTTTTTTATTTTAGCCAGCTAATAGTTCTGCAAGCATCATAAGGGGCTCAATTCAGACTTAATTCCCTTGCACACTCCCTGCCATCAACAGTATTAAATTACCCTGCCAATTTAAGACTAACTGCATTCATGACATCTACATTACAAATGAATTAACCACTCTGCCTGATACAAAAATACTCAAGTTACTGAAAGAAACAGCAGAGAGTGAAAAACCCCACACTTTCTCAGACCTTTTATAGAGCAYTAAATTTATCAAAGACAGTCCAATAGTACATTCTTAAAGAAAGGCTAAAAAGAGTAAAGCAGTCTGTGAAGGATCCCCCCAAGTCTCCTAGAAAATGCTGGAGGAGGCCTGAGCTGCAGGTAAACACTGCTTCACATATTTTACAGAAAAGTATAAATAGGACTAMAACCTGCAGGATTTGCAGACCTCCAAATTCTTTCCCTCCAGGAAACACACACTATTTCTCTATCCTATATTTCTGTGGTTGATTGCTCCTGCTTAAACACAAGCACAAAATTCTGCTCACTTGTACCTGTTTCCTCTCACAAGTTTCCAAATTTTACTACCAGACTCAAAATTATGTGGAATCCTTCACAGTCCTGTGCCTTCTTTAGTTTTAATAATTACACTATTTCATTCGGGAAACTGTGAAAACCATGACAGGTATTTGACATGAGAATGGCCTCCTTAGTCTCAACAGTGGCTCTTCCCAGCTTTCTTTCCCAAGCAAAATCATCCTAGGGAAGAGAATCAAAAGTATTACTAAGCAATACATAAGATTATCAGTTGATCCTTTTGTGCACAGTAGGTCCATCAGTTGTTACTGAAATAGATTAGATTACTTCGGCTGCTTGTTCCTGACAAACTGATGATGTCTTTTACCCAACTATTATATTCTAAATACTTACAAATAGCTTTAGTGCCAGAATTTYTTTCAGGAATTCAAAAAGAAGAGGAGTCTGCCAATCTGTAGCTGTGCCTGTCTTTCAAACATTACTAATAAGGGCAGCCACCATGCTTCTGATTTTACTATCTTTGGTACCTCAGACACACCAAGAATACTACAGTCTTTTTTCTTTTTCTTGAAGYATGCTCAGGTAGAGATCATCAAAAGATTTGGAAAAGCTGCATTTCCAGACATCTTGGGTATTTCAGTTGAAACACTTGAAAAACCAAACAGCCTTACTCTGTGTTTTTAAACATCATAATTACATATGAACAAACCTGGCACCAAAAAAGTTGCCAAACTATGAAAGGGATATTAGAGACAGTTATGGGCATAACTGAGAGCCTCAGCACACCAAAAGAAACATCTCTGCACCAGCATCTCCCATCTCAAGCTGAATTCACAACTCACCTTCAAGTATAAAARCTGCCTTCTCCAGCAACATATCAACGGCCAGCTCAGTGACAACCTTCTGCCTTTTTGTCAGGGAATAACCTGCTAATTCTTATTGAGGTTGCACAGACACATTTTACTCCGCAAAAGGACCTGTGTTTGGTTTCKGAAGCCTGGCCTACTCAGCAAAATTATGCTCTTAAGAATCATAAAGTAAGACTTCACTTTGCAGTCAAGGTTAAACCTTTAGTACTGATAGAACTGTCCCAGAGTAAGAGCCCTTGACACTTCCATCTTTAAACAACAAAATGGGCTAACTTATATTTCAGAACTCACAGAGAAGGACAACAAGCAAAGCAACAATAAAAATAGTCTCTTCAGACATTTTAATACCCAAATCTGCATAGTTGTAGAGATTTCTTTTTGCTTGGTTTAGGGGAGGGGTAGCATAGCGGGTTTTGGTTGGTTGGTTTGGGGTTTTCTGTTTACTTTATTATTACACACTGGCTCTTACAGCTTGGGGGAAAGAATAAGTATTTATAAACAGACAACAAAGAGTTGCTTTATCTCAGTACAGTGAGAAGGCTATCTAAAGGAAGAAAGTAGCCACAAATTGCCCAAAAAAACCAACCAGAGAAGTTATCTGATTGCACTATTTGAGAGAAACAACTTCTGAGATTAGTGAAGAAAGTGATTTGCATGGCTTTGTTCTTCTAGGACACACTAATGAGTTTTTTTATTATATTTTATTAGTAYGTGTCAGTTCAACCATTTTCAACCAGTGAAGAAAATATTTAAATTTACTAAGCATTTAACTGATAATAGATCAATATTTAGGGAAATAAGTTTTGCATCTTCTAATTAAAGGAAAAAAGATGTTGTGTTGACTCCACTCAAAATAGTACTATCTGATTTGTTAGGAGACTGGGCTCTCCACAGTAGCACTAAATGAAAGACAAATGCTTGACCAAGGAACATCAAGGTTTTTRTGTTCAAATGCAAGCAGAGACCATCAGTACAAGACCATGGCAAGCTCATTTGCTTTACACAGTGCTGTCTTATCCTCTACTAAAGGATCACAGAATCATTAAGGTTGCAAGAAACCTCCAAGATCATCAAGTCCAACTTTTAATTTATTAAGCACCACAGAGGCTGAAGCTTTTAAATAGTTTAGAGAAGCATGCTGAAAAYGACACATAGAAGAAAATAACTCGCTTATCGGAGGAACTGAAATAGAATCAAATACAAGCACTGTGCAGGTGCAAGTAGAATCTAAAAAAAGAATAGAAATCGCTATCTGGGAGACCAGACTAATGCACTCACACAAAGCAGGTGTCAGTAAGGCAGTCACATGACTACTGCCCCAACACTGCATTCAGGCAAACAGACTATATGGTAATTTCCAGATTGTAAAAATTAATTGGATTTTCAGCAAAAACATCTTTCGATTTCCCATACATTAATAGAGAAGAGTGACAAGATTCACACACAAAAAAAAGGAGCTGCGGAAAAGGTGAAATAAACACAGCTTTTTTTTTAAAACCAAAACTCCACCTCTTTTTCATCTGATTATCTGCTTAAATAACCTTTGAACAACTGTTCCGTGACTTAAGTTAAAATTGGAAACGATTAAAATTTTTCATTTAAGATGATATGAATATTAATTTGAGTCACATCATTGTCTGTATGTGATCTGAAGTTCTGTGTTCTGCCACGGGTTCCATTACCACCCTYAATTTTACAGGCACGTTTCTCCATCGTTTTGCAGTAAACAAAGGACAGCATTTGCAAGCAAGTGGTTGACTAAGAGCGGGGTTGCAGGTGTGTTCAGAATTAGTTTTCCATCCCCACCAATTTCAAAATAAGCAGTTTGGGAAAAAATAACGCAGGATGAGCTGCATTGCTGAAAGTCAGGCTGGCTGTGAAACACGGTTTGAAAAGATTGCAGGGTTTGAACGAGCGTGGCGAGGGTCAGCACCAGCCACACACGGATAGTTTCAGGTCTTCCCAGAGAAAATCTTCCGTGGTTTAATGTGCCAGCGCTCCCCGTTCGGCCGTGCGCGCACAGGCCTGTACAGCACAGGAGCGAGCTCGGCGGACACGGAACCAGCACGGCCCCGCGCTGCGTGCCCGGGGTCCCTGACGGGAGGGCAATATTCGGGACAGGAGCCGGGAACCGAGCCCGCCGGTCGCCCCCTCACCCAGCAATGCCCCGCGACCACCCTTCCCTCCGCGTCCTTGCCACAGGGGACGTGCCCGGCGGCTGCCGCTTCCACCCGGCCCCCAACCCCGCTCAAGAGAACCGGCCCAGCCGTGACTCGGCACTGCGGCCCCGCTCCGCCCGGCCCCGCGTCCCGCCCGCCGCCGCCTCACCACGGCCGAGCTGCCGCTCAGCACCGCGCCCCCCGCGGGGTTCCGCCGCCCGCCATCCCGGCCGGCTCCGGGCTCAGAGCGTGGCGCAGGGAGCGGCGGCCGCTCCCGGCTTCTTCCGCGTCGGAGCTGCCGCCATTCGCCGCCCGCCGCCACCGGCACGGCAAGGCCCCGCCCCCGGGAGGGCACAGGGCTGCGAACTACAGCTCCCGGCAGCCTCCGCGGCCCACCCGCTGCGGCTTCCGGCCGGCGCCGGGATGGCGCGGTGCTGAAAGGCGCGGGGCGCGCGGCGGCGCGCGCGGGCCTCCCAGCGCCATGTACAGGTACGGGAGCACCGGGACACGGGGACACGGGCACCGCTGCTGGGCTGTGGGGGAGCCGCGTGGCGCCTGAGCTCCCCGTGAGCCCTCGCTGAGGGCGGGCGCGGGTACCCCGGCTGGTTGGGGGGTGGCAGGGGGACTGTGCGCGGGACCCCCGGGAACCGGGAGCGCGTGTGGGTCCCGAGGGAGCGGGAATGGGCTCCCGGGCGCGGAAGCGGGGCGGGGATCGCACGTGTGTGTGCCGCGTGCGTGTGTGGCCCCGTGGGTGGTCCCCGGGGTGCGGGGGGCTCTGCCCTTGTGGCCGGCGGGGGATCCGCGGGCCAATTCCCTCCGGCAGCCGCGGGGTGTGCTCCCCCGGCTCCCCCTGCATCCCGGCCCGCCGCCCGCCCCGCCGCGCCGTGCGAGGATCCCGCCCGGGCTCTGTCCGCGTTTGGTGGTGTTGGGAGGCTGCCCCAGCCGCCGCCTCCATTGGCTCCGCTCCCCGGTCCCTCGCCCGCCCCATCCGGAGCGGGGCGCGCTCAAGCCCTGGCGGGATCTTCCCCAAACTCTGCCAGACCGAGCACACGCCTGCGCTGTGGCCGCCGCTTGTGCTGGCAGCGCCCGCAGGTCCCACACTTAGTCTCCCTGTCTGTGGATGTGGAGTACGAGTGATTGAAATGCTTCAAGCATCCCCACCCTGTGTTTGGTGTCAGTCGGACGATAGCCTTAGAGGCTCTGGGTTTTGCTGTGTCTGCAGAAAACACCTCCAGGAGATCCCATCCTCCAGCACTAATGTTTCCACCAGCTTGGAATGGGATTCCAGCAAGACCTCGGAGCTTCGGTCGGACATGGGAGTGTCGGCCCTCAAGAAAGAAAAGCTGGGCAATGAAAACACACCACAGGACCTGCTGGTATCGTTGCCCTGTGTTCCTCCGAAGCGGCAGAAGGTGAAGGACAACGAAAAGGACTTTGTGATCGTGCGCCGGCCGTGGCTGCTCCGAGAGGCAGAGTCAGGTACCATTACCCTGGTCTGGGTTGTGCTCGCCCTTCAGTAGAGATGGAGAGCAGGCATCACAACTCCACCTTGCTTTATTGTTTGCTTTTTTTTACTCTTATCCAGCAGAATGTAGGGGCTACTTTTAAATGTAGGGGCTTTCAGGCTTGGGGTGATAAWTGCTGTTTAATGTATGCCTTTTAGCAGGGGTGGTGTGTCTGTCTGCAGAATTGTGGCCCATGAAAAGCATGGTTCTCTCCTGCCTAACCCTGTGACCATGTGTGTGGTGGGGATTGTACTGCATGTCCCTGTGTCTTGTCTGCTCTTGTGGGATATGGGTGGCACGTTGTGTTGAATCAGTGTTTCAAGGCTGCTCAAATAATCAGCAGCAAAGATAACAGCAGAAGTAGGTTTAATATAAAAGCAAAAATGTGACAGTTTGTTGGCAACGTTCGCTCTTGCTAGTCACTAGATGGTTAAAGCACACAGAGAAAAAGCAAGCTAAAATCAATCAGTCTAAAACCAAAGTCAACCCAAAAACTGTGTATTTGGAGGCACGAGGGGAAGGGCAACTAAGGAGTGCAGGCTGAGGTGTGCTGGTGGAGCTGAGCTCTGAGCGAGGTGAGGGGCTGTGCCAGAGAGCTACAGGAAAAGTACATTTAAGTTTGGCAGGCTGTTGGGCTGGAAATGGACCGATGGGGAAAGAGCAGGGCTCTTGGACACTTAAAGGGATGGTTATACAATGCTGGGTTCCTTTCCCTGGCATCAAAAYGGGGTTTAGTCTGTATGAGTATAGGATTCAAAATAAATAAGCAGCTCTTTCCAGACATTAGGCTATCTAACAGAAGGTGGGAATGCCTTCAGACACTGCTGTTCTTATGTAAGACCAAGTGGTGGGTCAGAGGCAGCTGTTAGTGAGCACCGCCATGTGAATCTTCCATGTGAATCTTGATACTTTCTGGAACCCTGAAAGAATCTGCAATTGCACCCCGTTGTTGTTTCAAATAGTTCTTGGAGTTGTGGTAGCACTTGTGTTTTAGGAAGCAGTTTATAATATCTGKTTTTTTTCTGTGTATCACACAGAATCACAGCTCACCTTGGGCTCACATCTGGGACTGTTGCATGCATAGAAAGAGTGGGCATTTTAGCAGCAGAGGGAAAAAAAACCCAGAGAATTGTATAACCATTAGAATACAAGGGCAGTAACTAAGATGCTCATGTTTCCCAAATGAGTATGTGAGTAATGATTATTTTAATCAGGGATTTTTTTTTTTTTTTAGTATGTATACAAATTTGATATTATGAGATATGCCTAGGCAAAGATGATAAAGTAATAATGTCTTTCTACAATGAAGAGCTCAAACGGGGCAAATAGTAGGCTGATGTCTGATGTATAGCCTAGGGAAACTGTAGAGGTGCTTTTAACAACCAAACCAAACAAGGCATCTGATCAGCAGGCAAACGTGAACCAGCTTTAACTAGAACATGTTTTGTTCTTTCCCCAAAGTTGTTTCTTTGGACGCACTTCCAGATGAATTGCTTTTGGCAATCTTTTCATATTTGCCCCTAAAGGATTTGCTGAGAGTTTCCATGATTTGCAAGAGATGGCATCGTCTTTCGTAAGTATTACTTTTCAGAATTTAGCACTAAGGCTAATCTTTGTTTTCACAGACCATTAAATGGTCTGGTTCTCATCTTATTTATACATGTATAATTCAATTTGCACCGTATGTGGTTATGTAAAACCAAAAGATGCCTCACATATTTTAACGTTATTGTAGTCTATTAAACAGCTTTTCCTTCTCTGTTGGTTTTTACCACTGAAAACTTTCTGTGGTTCTACTCATAGCTTTAACCTGTTTGAATTCACTAACAAGTAAAATTCCTTGCCTTAGGTTTGATGAATCTCTCTGGCAGACTCTTGACTTGACGGGTGGGAATCTGCTGCCAGGAGTGCTTGGACAGTTGTTGCCTGCAGGTGTTACTGTGTTCCGCTGCCCAAGATCTTGCATTGCGGATCCATTGTTTAAAACAAGCAAGTAAGGGATTTTATGCATTTTCTGGATCCTGAAACTGTATTTCAAATATTCACAATCACATATTTATCAGGCACCATAATGCACTTGTAGTTTATATCTTGTAAAACCAAGAATTATCATAATCTCCAGCATTTTTATATGGTACAGTCAAAAAAATAATTTAACTCCACAGAATAGACTGTTATGAGGAATTCCAAATGCCCGAAAGATACGTATTCTGCCTATCTACCAGTTTTGGCTGGTAGCTTAGTAGTAAGCTCAGTGGTTAGTAGTATATTCAGATTGCAGCTGAATATAACAGTAAAAATATTTTCTGCAAGTTTGCATGTTTYTAGTGTATTGGATATGTTTGTGATGTGAGGAAATTACGGAGCAGGTTTTAATACAGTGGTAATAACCTAACTTAATTTTTTTCAGTCTTCTTAAAATTCAGCACCTGGATTTGTCAAACTGCACAGTGTCTGCTGCAGATCTCCACAGTATTCTTTGTCTGTGTGAAAAGCTGCAGAGCCTCAGCCTGGAGGGTCTAGTGCTTTCTGACAACATCATCAAGTGAGTGAAATGTTTGGGAATATTGAGTAAACACTTCATTTTTGGTGCCATCATATTGTGTAGGCTAATGAAAGAATGCAATGGAAAGTTGTTCATTGTGGAAGTCTTTTGAAGTGGCCAGTTTTAGGTACCTTTTTTTTTTTTTTTTCCAATTTCGCAGAATAGCAGGAGGTTGGAGAAAAAGCTCMTCTCTCTAGGGTTTATGTATCCACATTCCCACAGCTAAGCTGTACAGCAGTTACATYTACTTCCTCATTTCTGTGCTCCCAGGAGAACTTTGTGTTTGCTGTGCAGAATCTTTTCTGTTCTAAGGGCTCTTAGTGGCTCTCCCACCAGGTGCTCATTGTGCTTCTGTACTATTGCTCACTTTTTGTTGAATTTTCACTCCGAAGTCCTGGAAGATTACAGATTCTGTCAAGCAAAGTCTTTTTTTTGTTAGACTGCAAAGACACTAACGGGTGTGCAGTCAACCTCCTGTTTAGTCACACCAGGTGATTGTGGAGGTGCCAGAGACCATAGGTCAGATGGCAGAGACTCTGTCCTGCTTTCTGATGCCTTCCTCCTTCTGGGAGAGGAGGAGCTAGAATACAAATAAATCAGTATAGTTTGGCTTTTAATACTGAGTAAAAATTATCTGAAAATTAAGTRCTAATCAGGCACTAATGATGGAATTTTGTTGCCTTCTGAACAAATGTAGGTACTAGCTGTAAGGGTTCTTCCAAGTTTTGCTGACTGCATCAGTGATGTAGTCTGGCAAACAAATGCATTCAAGGGATGCTACTTGGAGATGTATTTTATTCTATTTAATAACCCCCCATCTTGCAGAGGGGTGACACCAGAAATGAGATGGTTTGCTCTGGTCTTTTGCAGAGGTATTGTCATCTCTGATACATCTGTGGTACATGTTTATAGGCATACAACAGGAGAAGGTGAGAAGAAATCATTTCCTTGTAAACTTAGTAGTTTATAAATATGCAGAATTGTTAGCAATGCCAAGTAAATAGACCCTTTCAATGTTGTGCCTTGATGCAGCAAGTATGGAGTTGAGACCTTTAGTGACTCAGGTTGGTCAGTTGATTAAAGATGCAGTTCTTCATGTTTAATGAAAAATTCCTTGCCCAGGATCTTAGGTCTTAAAAATAATCACACATCTTTGCAAAGCAAGCAATGTTCCATATTTCAATTTTATCAAACTTTTTTTTCTCTACAGGAGCATCGCTAGGAATCCTAACTTGATACGACTAAATCTTTGTGGGTGCTCAGCATTTTCTGCAGAAGCCTTGGACCTGATGTTGACCAGCTGTTCTATGTAAGACAAAACCAGTCTTTGCTATTCCTGAGAAAAAGGATATTTTTCCTTAGGCTTCTCAGTTATATCTAATACTTCTTTTTAATGTGCCAGTTTCTATTCCTAAATGCCTAACAGTTGATTATTAGCTGAATAGTCAGGTAATACCTTTCCATCAAGCCATTTTCTTCTTTAGTAGCAAAGGTGTACTTCAGTAGTTTTCATGGGTTTTCTTAATCATTCTTTTGGTGGTAAAACCCCTTTTGTTTTCCTTTGATATGACATAAATTTGATTTTCTTTATGAAAACAGTATGTGGTTCTCACAAAGCCCAAGTGTATGTTTTGAAACTGGGCAGTTGAGTTCCAGAGCTTCCTTTGCAGTCAGAGTACAGCATGAGTGGCAGACAACCCTGTGCCTTTCCCTGGTAGAATAATCCTTCAGTAACCTTCTAGTTTATGAAGGGCTGTGTTCAGATTGACAGTTCCAGTGATTAAACCAGCTGCTGGCAAGATGTCATTGACCTGGGCCTCAGTGAGTTTAGGATTTATATCTCAATCTTTCTGTTGAGTCCCTGTGACCTGCAGGACAACGTACTTAGTCTTTACTTCTGTAAAAGCATGTTTTTTAATCAAATTGCGAGTTAGTGGACAGCCAAAGCCTTAATCTTTCTCTTGCTTGGTCTGATTACTCAGATCATGAGGTCTTTGAAGGATGGCAGTCTGTGCAATGCACAGTGAATAGCAGATGGCAAACCTGATCCTAGGAATGCTAGTGGCAATTTAACTGTTTTTTAATTTTATGTAGAGATTGCCAGCTAAATGCTCTAGTTGTGCATTCACTGTGTCTTTGTCCCTTGGTTACAGCTCAACACCTGCAAACAGAACAATACTTTGTCCCAGCCCCATGGTGACAGGCTATAGGTAATCAAGCACGTAAAGAGAATTAAGCCTCACAGCATGACCAGTGTTTATATAAAACTATGAATTATTTTATGCTAATTAGGATTAATTGGTCATCTGACCAGTGCTAATAATGGATGGTGGTTTTTCCTCTCAATGTGACCATCTGTTCAGTAGTAACAGATTCAGGTCACAAACCCAGTGAAAAGACAGTGTCTCCTTGTGGCAGTTCCTGGAGAGAGCCTTCACTTCCTAAGATATTACCRAATCATTCCAGTTGAAAGTGGCTTTGGGAAGTCACTTTAACCCCTTTCCCAGAACAGGATCTAAAATCAGCACTGTCCAGGTTGATGAGGATTTTCTCTGGTTGGATCTTGAAAATCTCCAAAGACAGATTCTGCTGGGTGACCTGCTCCATTCATCAGTGCTTAAAAATTGTCACACTAGAATTTCTAGTCATGAATACAGGAATTTGACAGTCCTATTTCAAGTGTTTGCTTTAAAAGTATCAACTCTAATAGAAAATATCAGAACTCCATCTCAGCCATGCTTGTTAACAACTCTGTTCATTTGTATGTAGGCTGGAGGAGCTGAACTTGTCCTGGTGTGAATTCACAGCCACTCATGTCAAAGCAGCAGTCAATCATGTTACTTCAAAAGTCACCCAGTTAAATTTAAGTGGATACAGAGAGAATCTACAAATAGCAGGTAAATGGCAGTGTGACATCCCACTATTGCATAAAGCAGCAGGCTTTATCTTCTGGTTGGCATTCACTCTGTATAGAAGAATCATGTGCTAACAGTGACTTGTATAGCTTGGAGTTCTTGCTGTCAGAGACTCTTATTCATATTTCTGGCTCAGTCATGAAGGGTGAGATGATTTTTCTTCTGAATTTAAAAACAGTAAAGTGAAAGCTCATTTCTTCTTCAGCTGAACAGAACAGCCTTTATTTCTGAAGTCCTGGAAGTAGGACTCTGTGCCATGAATTAGCTCTAGGAGCAGTATCTGGAAGACTTCCTTGAGGCCTCTGCTGTTGTGGCTGCTGAAGGCATCTTCTAAAAGAGAATAGTCATAGTGAATCCTTGAGTTTTAGACTTACATCCAAATACCAGTTAGTTTGGAAACCAAATAATCTCAGTAATCAATATTAAACCATTTACTTGCTAATAGTTCTAGAAAGAAAAGTTGTGTTAAGTTGGAGGGTAATAGAAAATGCAGAAAAGGCTAGATCTGGGGGAGGGTACATCAAAATGAATGAGAGCAGAGCTAAAGGGTGAAAGTCCTTTTGTGGTAATTTAATTTTCGCAATGAGTGAATATGACAATAGGGCATTGGATGACATGCAGGGGGTGAACTCCTCTTATTTCTGTTTAAAGATCACACAGACCCCTTCAGGCATTCTCTTTGTGGGGAAATAGGCAAATCTTCTTATCTCAGCCCCAAACCCCTAAATAAATATGCTACATAATCTCCTCCACATGAGGAATTTGAACCTTGGGCCCTCTAATTGGGCCATTGGAGACCATGTGCTGACCTCTTCTGTTTGTCAAACACTTTCTCTGAATGACTTTACTCTGTTTCAGTGCAATTTATCAGGTGTAAGACTTGAATGTTACATTAATCATCATAATTAAGATACTGTTTTCTTTAGTTTCTCCACATGAATTCTGAAATACCAAAATTCTCTTGCATGCTGTTGAGCACCTTGCAGTGGCTTTTAGGTGATAGCTGAACAACAGGTGATACAGTGCACCTTGCAGACAATGAAAAGAAAGCCTCAGGAATTCAGAGTTTAAACCAGGAAAACCATAACCTTTTGTCATGAGGAAGGAACTTTTTCTGAGTAAAAATGGAGATGCTTAAAGCATGTGGTCCTCTGAAAGAGTGTTTGATGTATAGAAAATTTTTGTTACTTTTTTACTACATGTAAGTATTTTAAGCAGCTCACCATTACTGTGTCTCAGATTTCACAGAACTACCTGTATCTCTTTTGCTGAGGGTTAAAAGAAGTCCATGTAAGATACCTTGAAGCATGGATGTTTTGGTTTAGAAATTGTGGGATTCCAGTAGAGACAATATAAATGAGCATGTGTGGAAGTGAGTAGGCTGTATAACGCACATTCGACTTGTTACTGAAAGAGGGACTGACTCTGTGACCTTTTTTCAGATGTGAAAACACTGGTGGAGAGATGTCCTTTGCTTGTCCATTTAGATCTCAGGTAAGAAGACCTGTGCAGCCAGTCCTTAAATCCTTATGGTTCAGGGGATTAGCACTGAGTGAGGCAAGGTTGTTTAGTACTGCACATCCAGAAAATACTACTCAAGCTAAACGTACAAAAGATTTGCTGTCTGGCATGGTCTGATCTGGAGCAGGTAAATAACTTGAAAATGTCTTTGTTACCCTGCATAAATATCAGGTATCTACAGGATTTGTTAACGAATGAGATGGTAGTCAGCAGGTAGAATGGAAGGAAGTATTTAGATGCCTACAGTTTATTAGCCTAGCATTCTAGAGAGGGTTTAAATCATGTCTGATACAAATTTGTTACTTTGCTATGTAACTGTAAAAGATGTATTTTGGTTTTGTCTTGGTTACAGTACTTTGAAATCTCTGTGAAAAACATGCTTTTTCATGGCATAAATTCTGGTGCAGAATATCTGTGTGAAGAGAAACTTCTGCTTAGCTTGCACTTCAGTGAAAACCAAAATTCCCCCCACGCCAAAACACAACCTAGAAATGGGTTACTTCCATACTCAGCAAAAAATACTTCACTGGTAGAAAAAAGTAGATGTTTAATACATTTCTCTGCCTGAATTTTTGGAAATACCAAATTTACTACTGTTTTATACTTAGACCTTTATTTAATGTGTTCTGTGTACAGTGACAGCATGATGTTAAAGCCTGAGTGCTTCCAGTATTTTAAGCAACTCATGTTCCTACAACATCTGTGCCTTAGCCGATGTTACCAGATATCACCTGCTGCCTTAGTGTAAGTAACCTCCAAATAGCTTTGGTTTGCTGTTCCTACAGAGGGTAAGTTTATTTCAATTTGCTTTACTCTAGGTTCAGAAGTGCAAATACTGTTTCAGAAAACTCACTGTTACAAGGAATTGGGAATAAAACTAAGATAAAATAACCTGACTGCTAGGCATGTACAATTTGAGAATCCAGACTGGGACCAAAGCTGAGATACTCTTTCAGTGGTGTCAGTCTGTACTCACAGAACTGGCTGCTCCATGCATGTTAGTGGCATTATACCAGTGGTACTCATTGCTGGAACTGGAGGTTATAGTCCTGCCAGTGACCAGTATTGATGTTAGTACCAGATTTCTGAGTGTGCAGCACGGTTTGGAAAAGTTGACAGAGTTGACAGTATTGGCTGGACTAGAAATCCGTGTATGTTTGCTTTTGCGTGCACCTTTATCAGTTATTGATTGTGACAGAAACATGGCTTAGAGTGACTTGTTCATGAGGTCATTCTGCCTTTTATTAGTATAGAAGCTTTCAATCTTTTCAGGAAGGATATCAACCCAAAAGAAATGGTCAACAAAAAGAAAAAAGGTGGTGAGAGAAACAGGACTATTGAAAATGAGGACCTGAAGAACCTTTCCTGTAGCAGCCTGTGCCTCAGACGTTTGATTTTTCTCCAGTACTTGTAAGATACACAGTTCAGATGATGAGTGGGAAAATGTAAAGCAATCGAGAAGCTGTGTCTGGTTACTCACCAAAATATTGCTACAAACTGAAGACTGATTGATAGAACTTGGGGATTTGTATCCTCCGAACCACATCCTGGAAATTAATCTGGGCAATTTCTTCCACTTGTTCTAGATTTTTAAGTCCTGGGATATGAAAAGGAAGAATCAGTTTGTTTTCAGTGTGTGAGAGAGAGATCAGCAAGAAAGTAATTTATTCACCTACTTTTCTGAAGTATCAGTACAGAGCACTAGTTTCAATTAAATATGTGCTTAAGTAGTTACCCTCTTCTAAACAATTGGTAGAAACGGAGTTACCTAGCTTGGGCAACAGGCTGAAAAAAAGCCAAAAATGTTTTAAGTTTCATGATTAATTTAATTTTTCTCTTTCCAGAGAACTTGGTGAAATTCGAACACTGAAGACTCTTCAGGTATTTGGAATAGTGACTGATAGCTCCCTGCAGCTCCTGGAGGAAGCACTGCCTGACATGAAGATCAATGGTTCACACTTCACCAGCATCGCAAGGCCAACTGTTGGCAATAAAAAGTGCCATGAGATTTGGGGCATCAAATGCAGATTGACACTGAGAAATCAGAGTTTCTTGTGATCATGTACAATGCACAGATGCCATGGACACAGTTTGTGTTGAAGCTCCTTAGGAAACAAAGTGCTGGAGCACCTTTTATCATAGTACTGTTACTGTCTAACTTGGTTTTACATCTTAATGTTGTTCCATAGTATTTTATAGTAGTTTTTTATACTTAAAGCATTCAGAAATCTAATGATCTGTGAGCAATTACAGAATATTTCTTTCAGACTTTTTTTACAGGGGATCTTTGAAAAGAAATTTTATGAAACATATCACCATACTTAAGTAATGTCAACCTCTTAAAACTGTCTGCAGCTTCTGAAACAGCTTGCAGAGGTGATACATATTTTTATAAGGTTTATTAGGAAATTTGTGGAACTCAAAATGAATACTTAGATATTAAACCTATTCAACTACATAACTGAAGGTACAGTGGATGAATCAATCAAACTTGAAAACAGTAAATTGGGGATATATACACAGAAGCTCAATAAGAGCTCAATACCATACACGTTAGCAGCATAAAGGAGTTAGTGAAGTTTTATTTAGGAGGCCACAAAGGAAACTTGTCTTTCGTGGCCTTCATTTTTAATCAAATAGAGTCTGAAAAGCCCATTCAGAATGAGCATCTGTAAAAGTGGATGCTGGTTATCTATTGTTTAATGTTGTGGTGCTAGGTTGTCTGATCATGTATCACAGAACCTTAATGTAGCTTCTGTGAGCCTGATTGTAGACAAAACTAAAGAATGACATCTTTCAACTGCAACTGAAAAAATGGTAGTTTTGCTGGAGGAAGGCTCAGAAGGTTCTAGATATGACCAAAAAYGAGAACCTGGGACTGCAGTGTAAAAATGCTAACAGAAAGCGATGCTTTGGTGCTATCAAGAGACATTAATTACTCTTTTATAATAGTATGTTTGTAGTAGCACTTCATGTATTTTTATCACTAACCACTATTGTCTACTACTGACTTTTTTAAAAAGTCATAGGAAAAGCTAACTGTCCAAAAAAAAAAAAAAAAAAAAAAAAAAAAAAAAAAAAAAAAAAAAAAAAAAAAAAAAAAAAAAAAAAAAAAAAAACAAAAAAAACCAAAAAAACCCCCAACCAAATAAAGGATACGGACAGGTAATGACTTTAAATGAAACTTTCATCTGCATCTCATGCATAAGCCTGGAATGTTCCAGCAGGTGTTTTAGCTGATCATTTCTAGGGCAGAACTTGGATCCTGTGTGGGTCATAGGTATGCTGCTGTTTTTCCCATGAATGCAGTAAGCAGGCAGCTGAATTTATTCATGGGTGTTTTACGAGTAGCTGACATATTACTGTAGCGCTTTGCATAGGTATAGCTTTTCCCATTGCAGTCTTGAGAAAAAGCATTCAGGAATGAATACCTGGTAGTTCAGAACACATGAATTACTGTGGAAAGATTGTATGAGTACTAGAATTTGATGAGTATAGTAAATAAAGCATTTTCTTGTTAGTCTAAGTTTGTTTTGTTTTTATTAAATGAAACAGTGTAAGTAACAGGAGTTAATAATGTGCTTGTATCCCCTAAAAAGGAGTTCATGGGCAACATACCTTGTGAAAGCTGGAGTAGCTAGGGAGAGGTTGGAGGATACTGGAAATTCTACTGCCTTAGAATCATTCCTTAAAATACTTTAAAAAAAACCTTTGCAGCACCGCACTGCTGTAAATTCTTCTATTTTTTCTATTATTAAAGATCTAAGAAATTGTGATACTGTACAAAATGATGTATAGGAGAATGGTTTCCCTTATTTGCCATTAACTTTGTGTCATGGGTTAAAAAGAGAAATTCCTCCAAGCAGTGTGTCAGCAATGGTGGTTTAGAGGAAYGGGGTTATCACGAATACTTTTTAAAGCCCTGTGCAGAATTGGAACATTAGCAGGCCTTTAGCTAGAAGGAAAAACTTTACATACCAAATTCCATGTTGGAAGTGGACAAACATCACTGTTTCCTATTTACTGGTTATGATGGTAGCTGTACTAGACATAATGAAAGCCCAGATAAGGTGCACAACTGACTTTTCCTAATAAAAACAAGTTATTTTGTAGCCCTAAGCAATCCATAACAACATTGATAAATCTCTGTACTACACATAAATGCATGAAGGCTTATAAACATTAAAACCTGAAACAGTAAGTGATAAGAAACTGATCATGTGAAACACTTTTGAAGGCTGAAATAACACACAGGATAACTTCATTTAACAATTAACCTTATAATTTTTATTACATCATGTATAAACACCACTTGGAAAAAAAAAGCAAAGAATGACAGGTCTAGTTTAGCAGAACACAGTGCAGACTGGCACTAAATTAAAAGACCATGGACTTGACTCAGCAGGTAGAAGGGGTGCAAAGATCACTGCCAGTCCACGCAGATTAAATCAGTGTTAAACCAATACTCAGTCCTGTCATGGAATACTGTCTACCAAGTAAGTTGTCTGTACTGCAATCCTTTGTAGGAAAGGGTCCTTAAAAAGGGTCCTACAGTTCTTTTAATAAAAAGGGTAGCTTCTTACTATTAATTACAGATTTCTGAATCATTCTAGTCAAATTAAGCATTCACCAGTAAATGCTTCAACAGAAGTGCAATTAAATACAGACAAAACCAGTAGAGGCCGCTCATGAGTAGGTCAAGCTTCCATTTTGTAAGTTAGGAACTAGTGGAAGTTTTATATGTCCTAAACCAGATCATGCTTTGGGTCTGTAAGGCCTGAAAACACTGCCTTTTAGTCTTGACATTCATAATAAGGAATGACAGGCATGTCTAAGAGGTATACTTACTGATCAGACTAATCAGTCTTCATTAAAACATTAGAACACACAAATGTCTAAATAAACAGGGATATCTGCCATAGATTTGCTATCCAGGTGTTTTCAGTACCTAAATCTGATCTAAGAGTGCTAGAGTCCTAGGAAGTAATAAAGTAGTGTTAATGGCATTGGTGGGTTTGGGGGTTTTTTGAATCCTAWCAGCATGTTGACTAGTGTACTTGACAGAGGCACATAATAAACAATCCTTAATTGGTTGCAGATGGACTGAGAATAAGTAGAACACCCTACTCCATGTGCACACAACATATAGAAAGATTAGTCTTTTGTGTCTTTACCTTTCGACAAGCTTTGCACATTATTCGGATAGTTCCTGAACTTACCAACTTTTGAAAGCTTATTTTGCTACTTTGATTTTCCCCTCTGGGTCTGCAAGCGTGACAACCAGACAGTGTAAATGACTGCGGCACACTTAGAAGGTGAAATGAACACAGTGATAGCTTATTCAGAAATCTTAACCAATTTCACATTTTCCTAAAACTGAATGGTCTGGTCAAATCAGTATCCTCTATGTTTTAAATTCTATTCACTCTAAGTCTAGAAGGAAAAAACCCTTTGTCCATTTTTCCTTCACGAACAAAGAGCAGTTTACATTTTGCAAGTGGCAATAAATAGACTGATTGGCCACACTGGAGAACATTTCCATTAGACCTGAGAACATCTGTTACAGAAGTCTCTTCGTTCAAAAGTCATTTGAAAAAAACCTGACTTTTGGAAACCAATATGTAGACAAAACGTGCTATCTTCAAGTTATGCAGCAGAAGAGGTCCTKCTATAGGAATATTTGTTTTGTCAAATTTTGCCCCTCACCTATGCAATTACCAGCACAGACTTCAAAAGGCAGTCACAGTTCACAGTTTCTCTAAAACATTGAAAAGGTCACTTGCTCTTCTTTAATCAGAGCGATTTTTTTCTTTCTATTTTCAACTTGCTTACCTAACATAAGCAGAGATGTGAAATCAATGTGTTGCAATTTACATATAAGTAAAATTCAGCATAGGATTGGAAATTAAAATTTTCTGAAGAAGGTAAAAACATGCTGGGAAAACTGGAAGACACAGGTATTAGCTTGTGCTCCAATTCCTACTACCCAGCATATCTCATTCTTCTTTAATTACAAGAAATTCAGAACCTAAAATTTCAAACCATTCAACTTAATAAAGCCAAATATATTTCTTAATGATAGCCACTTACATATGCTAGTGTCACTGATCATCTGCTTGCTAGTTAATCCATTCAGTGAAGGAATATATCTTACTCCAACGTGATTTCTATAGTTTGCATATTCCTGATGATGGGCTCAAGAAAACCTTTGGGCTTTRAGTCCCTATCTAGACAAACAGAAAAAGTAAAAGCTACCTCATCCAAGATGTATTAAATCAGACTTTTCATGTAAGTCTACAAAGTAGAAAAAATACTGGAAGAACAAAAAAAAATTGCCACAAGTTGTATGAAACTACAAAGTTGTACAATTTTTGAAAAGCATACAAAAGATTTGTATTTTCATTTCTTTTACACCAACATCATGGTTTATGAAAATCTATATATCCTTTCATCAAATTGCTAGATTGACAGTCAACTTTTCTACAAAAGTGTATGTATGAAGGTATTTAGTTTCATCAGTCCCAGACTGTTACTAAAAAACTGTACATCTGAATATTTAATACTACTGACTTGAACCCATTTACCGTGTTTAAAAAGTTTTCATATTTGCCTTACAGGTTAAAATGTAAATTTTCATTGAAGTTAGAGGTAACACTTCAGACATACTTTACACTAGATGCAAAAAGAGCTTAAATATCAGGCTAATGTTTCCCCAACCCAAAGGAATGAAAAGCATTTCAAGCTTCCTCAAATGCTCTTGCATCCAAAAAGGCCAACTTCCAATATAATGCAGCATTGTGATATCCCCATGATTTCCCTCTATGGATCCATAAATGTTTCAGCAAATGACACAAGAGTCCTTCATTCTTCCAGCAGAACAGTGCACAGTGAATCCTCTGTGTCAATCAGTATCGAAGCTATTGCCCCATCATTGAACTCAAAAGATGTTCCTCCATCTACAACCATACAAGCATCCCAACAACGGGAACGGACTGAGACCCTGCAAAACACCCAAGAAGTAAGCTTGTTATCACAAAATAGCTTTAAAAATTCAAGTATTTCACACAAGTACTTAACAATAAAACTGTTTCTGGGACATCTCTTTGCTTGGGCTAGAAAATGCTTAATCACCATTTAGCTTGGTATTAAACACTAGAGTCCCCCAGTCATCAGTGCTTTGTATGGATCTAGCAGAGGCTCCAGAGAGGACTAAAGGGCTTATTCAATGGACCCTATTGCTCCCAGAGTCTGAGAACAGCCCATAATATAACAGCTGAAGCTGAAGCTGAGGTGTAGTTTTCAAAGAAAGCTTCTGATGATCCCATTTAACCATGATTTACCTAATCTTTACAGAGAAGTTTTCAATTAATTTTAGATTCTAGTATACAGTCTTCATGTGAAGTGAAATATACAGTTTCAAGTAGCAGTRCTTAAGATTCAAATAATGTGGACATTAATGCAGTCTATTTTGTTACATCAATCAKTCAGAGAGAAGGGAAAGTAATTACAAATACAAAGCTGAAGGTCAGGATGCTTGCCAGKCAACTTCAAGAACTGCAGCATTTTACTGTCAGTATTACAGCCTGACTATACTATATCTAACCTAATAAATTTAAATCTAAGCTTATCAAATTTAAGGCATCTCTTCAAGAGCTGGACAAAACAGAAAAAATAATTCGAGTCAGAGCTCCTTTTGACATTTGTTTTCATATAGAAGGTTGAATTTATATTTAATGAATACTGAAATATTGTATTGTTTACAGTAGTTTCTATGTAATTGTTTATATATGTTGAGTTACTCTGATCCTACAACAAACTGCTGTCTATGTTTAATTGTGGCAAGCTCCACAAAAATCTCAGAATCATTTCAGYTGGGAAAGATATGCAAGATCRTTGAGTCCAACCATTAAACAAGCACTACCAAGCCCACCACTAAACTTTGTCCCTAAGTGCCATASCTGCATGTCTTTTAAATACCTTCAGGGATGATGATTCCACCACTTCCATGGGCAGCCTGTTTCACTTCTTGACTACCCTTTGAATGATGAAAACTTTCCTAATATKCAATCTGAATCTTCACTGGCACAAATGCCGTAAGTTAAAATGATGAATTACCAAATAATTCAGTTTGGAAATGCATTTAGTTCAACCCTCTGCTCAAAGCAGGCCTTACTTCAAAGAMTGGCTAGGTTGCTCAAGGCCTTGCCCAGGCAAGTTTTGAGTATCTCCAAGGACAGTGATAGCACAATCTATAGAAATAACCTAGCTGACTGCCTGATTATTCTCACTGTGATTTTTTAGATCTGATTTTTTTTTWAATTTTTTAAATCAGAATCTTACATCCTATAAAATCATCTCTGTTCCCTTATAGTCTGCTCTAAAGAGAGTTTAACTGAAGTCTGCTCTGTAACCATCCTTCRGTGGCAGAAGACAGCAACTGTATTCCTCCTTAGTCTTCCTCCAGGCTAAACGAAAGCACTGTTTGAGTCTGTCCTTTATAAACCATGTGTCCTGGCCCCTTATCCTCCCCATGGACCTTTCCTAAATTCACTCCAATTTGTCTGTGCCACATACTGAGGGAAATGGCACATATCCAAAACTGGGCACAGCGAGATTCTTTTATTCTCTAAGATTGTGCAGGGATCAAACATTAAAAAGCCCTAACACAACCAGGAAACATTTTCTCCCTGCTGTTATGAGAACAATACTCAAGTCACTCAGAGCACAAACTGGATGTTGAAACACTTCAAGGGAAAGTTCTGGACTGCTCATACTTTGACAGATACACAGAATGAAGTCGCTCTTCACTATTGCAGCCAGCACTTACTTTGAAGAGAAGCCACGCTGACGGCTACTTGAGAAAACTCTGTTTACAATAGGCTCTCGAACACTGAAAAACATCTTTGGTTCCTCTGGACTGTAGAGCAGAGACTCATTGTAATCATTTGTTACTGTAAGTAGAGAAATCAGCATTAGGTTTTCCACAGRAAATTAGTTACTCTCAGAAACACACATTCCACCAGGGAAGTGGCTTCTCTATCAAGAGGGAACATTACGTCTTGACAGACATTTACTAGCCTTCACAAGGAAAAAAAATTACTTTTATGGAAGATCCTTTCAGTTCAACTGCATGATGAACACTCAATTGCTCTCTTCAGGTAATTAAATATTAACTTTTTCAAGTTTTAGGAGAACTGAAATTCTCCTGGGGAGGATATACAAAAGTCTAAATAAGTGCTTTCACATCACTAAGACATTATTTGCCAAATGTACATAATTTAATGTCTGTAAGAAAGACTATTAATGCTGGAGTGCTCAAATACTGAAAGGTGAGTAGCACAGAATACAAACGAAATGAACTGGCCAAAGAAACTTTAAAAGAAATCTTGCCTTTTTCACTAACCTTTTTGTACTAGTTCCGTGTTCAATGGCATATTCAAACTTCCRTGCGTTTTTGCTGTTGAGAAAAGARCCCCGGTTAGATACATGTATCTTTATACAAACTTGGCTAGTAATGCCACATTGTTCACTCACCGACATTAAGGATCTCTTCAATAGCTTGATGCGCAACCCTGTTAATGTTATAGGACCTAGACAGAGAAGCAGAAGTCCTGTTTGCTAAGCAGTACAACTTAGGAGAAAAACTGAGCAAAAATAAAAAGTCTTGCACACTGATAAAAAAAATTATACTGAACATTTGGGGGATAAACGAAATGCTGTTAAGTGTGAGCTGATATTTTATTAAAAAAATGGGTTTTTTWAAAAAGAAAAACACCTTAAATCAACTCTTGGTTTGGCATCTATCTGTGGCTTTGTAAACTTTAATAATCCATTAAGTGAAGTCTTAACATAAGAACATCACATATTGGATGTAGTCTCCTTATCAATAAACCGCCTTCCTTAAAACCCAAATAACTGCTGAATAAAGTCTGCATTAAAAAACTGGTGCATGACAGTTCTACAGGTTGTGTTCTTACCTTGTCTATCCARCCCTTACTGATTAATTCCTACTTCTCATTTATGAACCCAACACTTCTTTACAAACATTATGACTCTTTATTTATACCCCGAAATGTGGTCTTGAATCTTACAAGAACTGTATATGCAGAAAAGGAACAGTCAGACCAGACACGCCTTCATTTGACATATTTGGATGAACAAGTCAACACAGCTTCAGYCTGAACTAAGTCAAAACTCCAAAAAAAGTCTCCTTCCTCTGTCCAGGCTTGAAAGGGAGTAGATGCTAACCACAGCCACTGTGCAGCAGTACTGTGAACATCTCAGATGCTCAGGTCTCAAAACAGCTYAAAATCCTCAGTCCAGCCCTTGTGTAATTGCAGTACAACCCCTCAGACAGGAGTACACATCTACACACCTATTAAGACCACAGAGCTGAGCGTGGTGTCCAAGGATCTCTCTCTCACACTTCCTACCTTCTGCAAGCTTGAGCAGATGCTATCAAGATATCCTTTCACACAAATTTTGGCAGCCACAGAAAGCACCTGGACATTTAAATGTCTCTCAGTTTCAGAAAGCCTGAGAGACAGGCTCTGAGATTCCAGGAGAGTCCCTAGACAACAAGCTAAGGAAGATCACTCCACTGAAGTTTGGCCTCAGTTTAGAGAAGTCCAGCAACACATACTGATTACAGCAATGGAGAAGGGCAATCCTGGAGTTCAGTCCCYGGTTCTGGGTTTGCTCAGCACAGAGTGTATAAGCAAATGAAATGCCTAAGAACAGTACTGAATTAAGTCTGCACTTTCCCAAGGTACTGAACACTAGGAAAGTTTCCCTAGCAGTCTGCCAATTTCATCCTTGGCAGGCTCCAGAACTAAGCTATGCTGCTTGAATACAAAATTCTGAATTACAATGAAGAGTAAAACCCAGTAACCATGGTTACAGCATGGATACTTACTTTTGAAATTCATTAAAAGCTTCTGTTTTAGTGCATCTTAGCCTGCTACATAAATCCAGGGCCTATTGTACAAATTTAAACTATGAGCACAAACACATCTCTCACATCTGAAAACTAAATTGATTAGATTTCTATGCAGTACTGCAGCTTGTTTAAACTGAAGTTTAAATAATTTATCCCTCTAGCTGAGCTAGCACAGCTCTGTGTAGATATGGCCATCTTTGTTTAAGGGGAGTATTTTGGCAAAGAGATTGTCCCCTGTCAATTAAATATGGACGAAACAAGAGGCTTGAAAGGCGAATGTACCATACATGTACCAGAGAACACTCAACACTGCTTACAAGTGCATGCTTTCCTGTTCTTCTTAGACCTTAGTTTTTCATAAGTTTATTGAGCTCCATCATCTAAGCATTTTARTTTTAGCCAACAAGAGTAGTTCATAGATCATCCCGGTATGCACTCTTCACATCAGTGCAGAATATCTTTCTCTCACCACTCCCAGCCATTCACCTTCACCTGTGGCATGTCACATCTTTCACTGAAATTACACCTAAGGCAAACTTCTGTCTCAGTGCCATAGCTCCTCACCCTTTCAAGGCTTCTCTCCATACCCCCAAGTAATGAGTGCCCTGCTCTTCTCATACCCCTGGAACAGCTTTAAGACATTACGACAGTAAGAATATTTTACTGACTTACCCATAGCCTACCAGAGTCTCAGCAAGAACAAAAYGGATAAGCAAAATAGTTTCATCTAGCATATCTGAAATGTTACATCAAAGCAGCAACATATACTCACCATGCTCTAGATCCTGTTCCAGTACACACATTAAGCCCTGAACTCTTCTGTTTTTCCCAAGGACCATCATCAACTGATATTTCATAATAGGAGGCCCTATGAAGCGAGAATTTAAAACTGGGTTTGCAGGACTTAAAGTTCTCCCTGAATAAGACAGAACACACAGCCTTATCAGGCACATAACAATTTAGAGGGGCTACTTTCAAATCTGGATCACAATTTCACAGCTCTGTACAGTGTTTCCAATTTAACAGCTACTTCTGATTTGCTATTTTATGGCAGTTTTTATAATGGACTAAAATAATTTGCAGCATGAATTCCTAGTCATTGTTCTGCAGCCACTTCTCATATCAATTTATGCACAAACTACCTCTGTGGTTTATGTGCAGGACTTGTTGGACTTACAAACAAAAGTAGAAGTAATGACCTTCCTTGCATAACTGTTGCAAAAAAAACCTGTGGTTACGCTATCATTGGGTCTCATTAAATTATGCCAAGGAACATCAGTAAGTAAAAGCAAGATTGAAGCTGAATTCTTGATCACTTCGTATTTAAATATCCAGTGATGCTTCATGAGCAGCTTTAAACAATCAGCAGGTCTACATTTCTCTGCAGAGCAAATTATTCCTAAAACTGAAACGTACCAGGTCTTGGTGTACAATCATCTCCTGCATGTTATCATTCATCTATCAGGGGATTCCTAATGTTAGGCCTAGAAACCGGAGTTTTTCTCAACAAGCTTCAGAACATCCAACAGTACATTTATGAACTGAACTTGTTGATATTCACTCTGCCTAATTCAAATAGTGTGATATGGCCTTCAGATTAATAGATACCCTCTCAGAAATAACTCATGCACTGTTTTATGCACGACTGAGTTTCACCTTTCTTAGTAAACAGGACTTACCAAGCTATTATTTCCGTCTGGATCCACTAGAAATACAGCTCTTGGCTTTTTGGTGTCAGTTTATAYTCTTAGTAACTAAGGGCATGTTGTGTAACCACTCTTGAGAAGATGGGGAGATTAGGAAACCAGAAATAAGTTATTAACACAGGTGCCCAGCTTGATTCATGTTAATATAATTTTTGCAAGTTGGGTATGACAGGTTTTCTGGGTGCTTTTTTCCTTCAGTTTACTTATTTTCTTCACTGACATGCAGAGTAAGACCTTAGAAGGCGCTCCTAGAGTTATTTAGTCTAAACAAACAGCAGACCTGTGTATTTGAAACTGATGGAAGATACATCTCTATGGCATTTAAACCTTCAAGTGTAAGGTCCTACTAACAAAAATTTGTTTCTAGAGGTTTGTTCCTACAGGCCTTGTGCTCCTCAGTTGTTCTYAAATGCACTGGAGCCAAAGAGCACAATGTACTCGTGAGACTCATAGAGTTAGAAAACARCTTTGTGTTCCTCTGTTACTGCACATTAAAGAAACTTTTAGAATCTTGGTAAAATTAGGTTTGATTTAGTAAAAAGCAGGACTTGTATCTCTTTGCGATTAATTCCTTCTGTCAGTCTGAGGCTGAAGTCCAGACAAAAAACAAAGCACTCATGGACCATTTATACCATTTCCATCAGGAGTTCCCAGGCACTGTACAAACACAAGTTTTGTATAACTAAAGTGGCTTTTCTGTTRTTGCTTGGTTGGGTTTTTTTTAAGATAAACAACGAAGAGAAAAGGCATATCAAATTCAAATAGAAGTTTGGCCAAATCCTGATCATGGATCATTTATTTTACCGCAGCCTCAGTCATATTCCCTGTATCCTTCTTATTGTTTGGCTGCCAAAACTGCATTGATCTTCAGGATAGAAAGGACAGTCAAACGTATCCTGGATAAGGCAGTACCATGATCTGATGCATTTCAAACACATTTCTTAAAAGAAAGAAATAAGTATTTTCTATCAATAACAAGGTTTCTGCCAAAGACAGGCTGATATCTCTGCCTATAATGACAGAAAAAGGAGTCATGCTAAAAGCTATTTCTGCTTRATCATGCTAAAAGCTTATGAAAAGATATTTAAGAAGATATGCAGGAAAGGAGGCAGTTCAAGGACAGATATTTAAATCATTCCTACAAGGGAAGGAAAATAGCCAGGAAAATGAAAGCCAGGAAAGAACGACCAGACAGGAGGCAGAAAACCAGAAATTAGCATTACTCTTCTACATCTCTGAAAATACACTTTGTAATCAGCAACAACACAATCAATGTTAAATATTTATAGTYCAGAACTGAAATTTGACAGTAAAATCTCATCACTGATAGTCCACTGCAAAGTCATACAAAGAAATTAAGTCAATTGTGCCTTGCTGTAATAACATACCTGGATGAAAGAGATTCCCCAATAAAGACTTCATTGAGTGCTCTCACTGGTAAAAGATGTGGACCAGAAATGTCAGACCCTGCAGATATCGAATATAACAGGTTTGAATCATGGATCTAAAACACAAATTTTAAAAAACCATTCACAATTCATTGGAGGACAGATTCTGCTGCCTGCATTTGTATTCTACACCTAATRCTCCATTTCCTTAACAGACTCATTTATTCACTGATTTACTCTGTCCTGTCACTGTCCTTTAGTGGAGACAATAAATATTTAAACCAATGGCAGCAATGAAGGTTAGGTTAGGAAGGTTAKGTTCAGACATTGCTTTCTCTGAAAAGTTATGGGCAGCCAGGCAGAATGAAGTCKTCTCTTCTGTGAGTCACTCTTCTGGCCAAGTTAAATTCACCGGCAGTGACTTACAGACATGTCTGATGAAGTTCAGAGAATTAGACTTCATACCACAAGGTAAAGGGGATTAACAAATAGTTCATGTTGACAAGGACTTCTCAATGAGCCGATGCAGCACAGACACACGTTAGGCAAGAAGAACCATGCATCTTGAACACATCACTAAGAAAAGAGTGGAGGGTGTTCAAGAATGACCTAGAGAAAGAGTCTCACTTCTTATGTCTTATTTGCTTGCTGGTAGTCAGAGACCAGCTTTTACAACTCTGAATTAATCTAATTTAAAAGTCAGCACAAATTACAAGCGCATGTGTACACACACACAAACTTGAGTAGTCGTAGCTCTAAGAGACAGCATTTTAAAAAAGGTATTTTGACAGAAGATATTTCAAATACTACAACTTTTAGGTATCATTATCTTTTATTCCAAGTTATCATAGCAAAGTGACTATATTCTTGTCAGATTTGAACCTACTTTGATCCTGGAATCTTTCATTTATGTGAGCCCTGCTGTGTTGCTCTTGGCTTAGCTGCTGTTCATGTAAATCCACAGGGGTTGTGTTAATTCCAGTTCCTTCAAGATACACTCGGATTCTTTGCCTCCACTGCCACCTAAGAGAGGAGAAAGAAGTTGGTGTCAGCAGCTGAAACATTCATTACAAAATTAGATAGGATCTGAGAATCTTACTCTCAAAGCAGAATATTTTAAGATTAGAAGTTAAATATATTCAAAATCACACTTCAAGTTTTACAACTTCCACTATAACTTCTAAATTTAGAAAGTTACTCATACTAAATTGTAAACACTTTACCAATTTGCTACCTAATTTTTTTTTTAATGTGTAGAATAAGTGGACACTGGGCAAAAGTAGTCTACAAAAACTGCATGTAACAACTGCCCTTTTTAGGTGTATGATTCCAACTTGTGAATAAATGACTGATGCAACGCTTTTGAGAATAAAGAGCTCTCAAGAACTTATACAGCAATACATGCTGTGTCTTTGACATCTTTTGTTTGTATTTGTACATGTCCAGAAAAGCGGCTCTATGCACCYCTTTATATATAAGGCCCCCAGCATCCTCTCCTTTTAACAATCCCCATGGCCTAGGAATTTAGGGTGCTTAAGCGGAATTCAGCTGAATCAAGAGAAGGATATAAAAGCCATGTTATAACATTGAGGTTTTTTAAATTTTTCCCTAGAGATGTCAATTCCTTTTTCCTCTTACAACCAACAACTAAAACAAAATAGCAGTAGTTTTGACTAAGAAAGCAAATCCCAAGGGAGTGTTATGAATAAACTTTTCCCTGTTCATACTATTGACATCCAGGTGACAGTAACCAGTTTTTCCTGAAATTACGACCACTTATGCATTGTATCACTATACTACTAGTTTTTCTTCATTGTCATCTTTATAGAGCCTCCTTTACACATCCTATCTACCYTTAAATTCCAAGCATGCCTTTAGGTAGTCAAGCAGATGCATGCACTGTRTATCACTATACTAACCTCCTTAACGCTCATGGCTAGAACATGTCACATCCCCTACAAAATTAGAAAATGGGACTGTACTCCTATTATACCCCTATTCTGAGAACCTGCTAAACCTCTGACCACCAAGAAAAGAAACATGAGAAATCTGATAAAGGTTCTCCTTTATAAATCAAAGATATTGGTAGTCTCATGGACTACAAGGTCCCTGTTAACACAGATTATTGTATTGACTGATTTCTCATGGATAAATTGCCCTTTTCCAGTTTGTGGCACCTCACAATCCATATCATATACAACTCCAATATACCAGAAACCCTTCCAGACAAGGAYTCAGTTACCCAACTACTTTAAAATTCGCTTAGGGCCAAATAAATCTAAGAACTGTCAAATGAAACAACGGTTCACATCCTTGCTTAAGAATATGAGTTCCTATTATTTCAGAAAAATAATTAGGAAAATCCTTTCTGTTTCACTCTGGCTCCATAATGACCAACAACAGGAGTGCCAACAACAAAAATGTARCTTTGTTTCCAACAAAACATCAAGATTGCCAAATGTGAAGAGAGGTTATCTGCATTAGCACTATGAGTTTTATTTAATCAACTTAGAATGATGGAGACTAAAAAGTTTCTGTTTCCTAAATCTCAGAATATGTGWGTTGAAAAGTACCTGTTCCTTTAGCAATATATATTGAAATTGCTGGCAACTATATTCATCTCATTTCAGAACTTTTTATGGCACAAATACAGTTACAGTTCAAGCTATAAACATCATATGCTAGAAGTAGAAGCAAAACTCAATTCCTATATATGTTCAGCAGTGACTGATTTCTATTTGATTTTTTGTCATCATAAAAGTACTCTGGAAAGTTATTACACCACAGAACAATGTCTCTCCTTAAGTAGCTATTAAAAACTCTTCTCCAATCCATCCTCTAAAATTAAGCTTGTTTCTTATTAACAAGYGAGATTATTCTATTAAAAAAATCCAGTATTGAAAACACCAAGCAACATTCAGCATCAAGACAAATTTTGCCAGTTAACACAATTTAAGCCACTTTATCTCAATCACCAAAACCCCAGATGCAACACACCATTTCCTAACTTCTATTCTTATGGCCATCACTGTACTACATGTCTTTGAATCCTAAAATATGTAAACCAATATCCCCCTTACAAGAATGCAGTTTCTCATTTATGAATTTGCTAACACAGAAGTGAAAATCAGTTACTGCAGGCCATACCAGAAGACTTTTTGCTACAACAGGCAGTCAGTTTTATCATTTGTATTCCAATCTCCCTCTTGACCACAAATTCATTTTTCAATTTTGTAAATATCTACAACAGAATTCAAAATTTGAGCCATTAAGATTTTACTAAGCTTCACCTGCTCCTTAGGAATTGCACATGATTAGGTGTTTTCCAATCCCTCCATGTTTTTGAAAACCAAAGATCAGTGAATCCTACCTGAACTCACCACGATAAAGCTTCTGTAGTGCTTCAGGAAACGAATGTGTGTATCTCACAGGCAAGCACAAGTGACCCTCTGACCTGATAGTAAAAAATGACAATGAAAATTACAGCATTACTGCTCAGATTTGGCACCTTTGAAACACAAAACAAATCTTGCTCTGTGTTACATCTAGCAAAGCTACCCTTTGACCTTTATGAACCTCCACTATTCTTGCACAGGAGCACAACAGCAACAATACACTGCTTTCAGCTCCTGCAGTCTGTGTGTCTGAGACAGGATACTTCTCCCCCATGTCCCCTAAAAACTGTCTGTTCAGCAAGTAATCCTGTAAGAATATGTGAACAGTAATACAGTTCCTGTCACCGTTCTAGGCAAGCAATTTAGGCTTAATAAACCTGGAACATAAGAAAAAAATTCTCCATTTATACACAAATTAGTGACATGAACAGSTAAGCAACAAGCCTAAGATCAAAACAATCTCATGTCAAAACTAGAAGACTAAAYGCTAGTCCCCTCCATGAGTAATATGTGACAGCTTGAAGGCACTTGTTATTTGAACCCTGCTAGTGAGGYTTGACAATGCAGAAAAGCTACTTACAGCATTTCAAGTTTTGGAAGAGGAGTAAGGAATGAAAAGAATGAAACCTTTTGACCACCGCTTGGTGTACTAAGAATAAATTAACTGTTAAAATCAAAAGGAGAAATCTAAATCTGGACTACTCAGCAGACAGAGCTTTGGTGAATTCCTTTGCCATCCATTTGAAGGTTATACCAACCAGGCAATACTAACAAACTGCATCCACTGAGCTGTAAGATTGATGTGGGCAGGTGGGTGCAGCRTGTGCAGAGTTTATAATAGGACGACTAAGTTCCAACAATTGGCTCAGGAGACTGAGTTTTCTGAGGTGCAACATGGTTTACATTAAGAAACCACAGCAAACTTCTTCATCTAAGACTCTGTTGGATCCACCTTCTTCACAAGAAATCAAGTTTCTGTGTGCTCAGGCACCACAATTAGCTGCTTTTATGAAGTTCTTCCTGTCTAGGGTCTGAACAGCCATCCCTAACCCCAAACTGCTGGTTAGTAATACAAGTTAAGTAGCTGCAAGTGCTGTTACACTGGGGTGTGAGAACAGCTGTGGCAGGGCAACACAGTCATGCTTATCCAAAACTACTGAATGTCCTCTCAGATGAGACACGATAACTCACTGTGGAAACCTTAAAAACACAGGTTCCTTTGGTGTTACAACTCACCAAAACAGATGTTTATGTTGCCAAGTGCTACAGGTATGCCTCATGTACCATGAAAACAGATGCACAGTGTGCCTAATATTAAATAAAGTACTGCTTGCCCAAATAGGTTTTTACCTTTCAGGATCAGTATTTATTCCGATGACTGGTTTAAATTTGTCAAAAACCTTACTGGCTGCCAACAACATTGTACCGTCACCTACGGAATAAAGAGATGAAAAGTTAGTTTTATTTCACATTCTAAGATCCCAAATAGAATGTACCATTGGTACATTCTCCAGAATTACCATTATGTGCTTTTATATCATCAACCAACCAGGCAAGCTGGACAAAAATACAATGGTACAAAACCACTGACACCTTTCAAATAAGGGTGGTGACAACTGAGATGGCAAACATGACTGGAAAAGGTACAACATATGTGACAGCTATACATGCCCAGGCAATTGAATGTGGCAGAAGCAAGCTTTAAAAGAGCCTTATGGAAATTTCTGTACATTTATCAGCAGGTAAGAGAAATTCTTTACTGGATCTAAATACAGAAAGTATTGCTAAACAAAGCCACAGGAAACAAAACCAAGTGTTACTGTGGATCACATAAAAACAATGACATTAGCTTCAACCCAGCAGTCCACCTAGAAGGCAATTTAAAGTATTATTTGACCCCAAATAGGCACACATGTAAAAGGACAAAGAYATAAGCTCTGAAAACCTCAAATGATGTTATCACTACCCAGCTCTTTGCCTCAATCATGAAAAATTTTGCCACGGACAAACTGGCACTTCAGAGAAGTTCTTTGAAAGGTACAAGAGTGCATTAAGGATACTTTAGGAATATACACATAAACCTTTCCACCCATTCTGCATGGTGATCAGTATCCAAGGGCACACTCAACTAGCAGGAAGAGAGAAAGCTGTGGTCAAGTCTAATTGCCACAGACAAGTGAACATTATGTCAGAGCCCAGCAACTCAATGCTGTATTTGCAGAATGTCCCAAAAAATARCATTAAATGAACTGCTGCAATCCAATATTAAAAATAAACAATCAGGTTAGTTGCTCTGTTGGTTCATCTTGAAAAACACTTATCAGGGGCACAAGATGCTCAGTAGTTGCAGACTTTTACCTGTACCATCCAACTTGATATGCCAGTCACTGGATTAAGTGTGGAAGCAAGAAAGAGTTTGAGCAAGGGGACCATAAGGTAGTATGTTAGTCTACACCTCACATCCCAAAAAGCAGTAGGTTTTAGGACTATATAAAATCACATGACATCAAGCATTTATGCTGTTTAGCTGGAAACTATAGTAAAGTCCACAATTTATACTGGTTTTCACATGACAACAAACTTTTCTAGTGCCATGAACTGGGACTCACTTCCTGGGACTACAATTTTAGATACTAGAGGTAGACAAGATGGTCACAAGCACTGAATTCTATCAGATTTTCTGACAATTAGATCAGCAACTTCTTTTCAAACTGTGCATACTTCCAGTTGCTTCATGCAACGCAAAATATTTTTGAGAAACATATCTAGGAAAACATGATGAAACAAACACTTCTCTTCCATAAAGTCATACCTCCTGCTGATATAACAGCATCTGCCCACCGAACTGTCTCTTCATTATATTCTCGACGCTTAACAAGACGAACTTCTATCCTTTCGTTCCTGCAAAGTTCAGAAAAAGTCAGAATTTTGTCCTATACTGTTCCCCGTCACAGCCTCCTGAAAAGCTCTCATGCAGTTAAGGAGTAATTAGTCATATTTGGCTTGTAAACACATAACACAAAACCTGTACARTATTCTCATTTATTTTCAAGATAAAAATAGAGGACGTTCACATGATGATTCTTTCAGGAATGACTGTTCATCTGCATCACTCTCYTATCAGGACTCATATTTTATTAGCACTTGTAACACAAGGCTTCCTTTTTTCACACAATTCATGGATATTTGTGCTATGTTTGAAATCCCCAGCATCCATACATTCTTACCGTAAGCTGTCCACAACATGCTCCACATTTTTTGTATGAATGCGATGCCGCTCCAGCAGACCAGCATAGTTAGATCCCTTCAAGGCAAGCTGTAAGACAGAAATGGTTTTTGCAGAAGTTAATCACTACAGTCAGCACTCTTGAGCAATGAAAACAGAAGCTACAAAAAAGCATGTATTTTATCTCAGCAGAGGTATGTTTTTATAAGCATTCCATTAAWTACATTTCTGTATAGAGAGCAGCTTATATTGACTGGTTCATTAGATGAATTACAAGGCCACAGCAGTCAAGAATCACAGAATACACMAATATGTAAACAAGCATACTACACTGACTTCCATGCAACTTCAGACATTTTGCTCCTCCYGAATCTGCCAACTCTTTGATTTAAGCTCTACATGAATCCATATGGTTACACTAACAATACTTCTGCTGTGCGCTAAAAGCACCCAGACAGTGAGCTAAACATTGTGCTCCAGAGAACACAGACAACAGAAAAAGCAACAGGAATGATAATTAAGAAAGCAGAGTCTGAAATACCTACAGCATTATCCTTCAAATTGTATTTGAGCTAAAATGGAAGACTGCCAAGTGGTGACAAAGGTGACATTTTCTCTGCATCAAAAAAAGCTTACAGACAATCTACTACTACTACCTTTAATACTGTTCACTGGATTATATGCCACATTTTTCAAATAAATTGATACCAATAACAAGACAAACTGTGTAGGTACATTCTAGTCTCATCCTTCCTGTAAAATGGAGAATTTGAATACTTAATCTAAACACACTCTTCAGACTATGGAAACCTTCTGCAATTTATACAGATACACTCTCATGAGCAGACAGACAACTGCAGATTAGCTCTGGAACAGGTTTTTGTGTGAGTAATTCCRCCACCATTTGTTGTTTACCTTATTTAGCAAGGGGGGGCCCTCATATGGGGCTGATACTGCCAAATGTGTTTGCATGGAGATAAAGAAAGTGAAAGAAAGATGGTGCAAAACATGTAAAGCATGTAAAAGGAGTCTTTAAATACATTCATAGTGAAAGCGATCCTGCTTTGAGAAGCATGCTCCTGATGCTCCTTCTAGCCTGAATTAATCTACAATTATACTGTCACTGCTTCCTTTTCCAYGAACAGTTAAAACCAATTTATCAGCAGAGAAACAAACTTCTCCTAGAGTTTGTGTAAAGGAATTCATCTTTGCCAGAAGCTCTGAACTGGCACTTCCAGCAATTTATTCAAATGCCTTTATTCAAAGTTTTATACCTTTCCAAGAGAAAGTGGTGCCAGACAGCCTCGTCTAATCCCATTTTCATAGATTCACACACTACACAACTCCAGACAGAAGGGGAGAGGACTGTCAGGATATGATAACTCAAGACAACTACAATCCAATACCMAGGAAATGAAATCTTTATTTATCTGACACCTATTTGTGTCAAGAAATTCCCATGAGCTAAGCATGTAAGACAGACTCAGCTGAAGAAATTACAGCAAAAAAAACGTAATCGGTTGCTCTGGAACTGCATTGTTTCACTCAGTGTGTTTACAACTTAACTTGTGTTTACAACTTGATTAACTTGCAGGAACAAAATCTTCAGATGGTCTTATAGCTGTGAYCAGGAAACCAGTTCCAACAGAAACTCCCAGGCTGCCTGTATGCATCAACAGCACCAAAGGCAGACAGTGGAGTAGCTGCTTCATGCAGTAGCTCTGCATGAAGACACACACACAAGAGCATGCAGATGATGAGAAGACATCCAAACACTGCAGGTTATTTTTGCAAAGCCTGCTCGCATTGGTTTCCTGGGGTACAGGATGTTATGTCCCATTAATTGCCTCACACACTTAAAGCCTTTGTTTCTACCCCTGAGCTACAATGCCTGTGCACCCCGAACACCTCTTGGTGCTGCAGAGTCCATGCTGTTGCCCTGGGCACTTGAACAGTGCCCCAGTGGGCACTGGGCAGGGAAGGAGCACACAGGGCTATGGCTAGTTACACCACTGGCCATTGCTGGGTCTGCTATCAGCCACTCATGATCTGTCTGAAGGGGAAAGGAAAAGGTAGAAAAGAAAAAAGGAGGGAGYTGCCCCTCACAGACATCTGCCACTGAGCACCACAGATCTAATTTGCTAGAATAATTGTGATCAGCACGTTTGAGGCACAAATTGATCTTGCTKTACCACAAGAACAAGAAATCCACAATCAAACAATTTCCAAAAAACACCAACTGTTGMTAAAATCAGGACTCCTCTAGAAATATCTGCTGCAAATGAAACAAGCACCTGACAAGCAGACTGCTGTGACAGCACACATTTTTCAGGCCGCTGTTCCACACAAAATAGAAACCACAAACCACAAACTCCACCTTTCACATGTATGTATCTCATTTATTTGGCTTATTTGTCAGAAAGCTATCCTTCAACTAGAGTTTTTATTTCAGAATAATAACAATGTAAGAATCCTCTGTGTGATCATTTGCAGGTTTTTGAGCCACCAACATCAGTGGTGAGCCTACAGTTAACATTTCACTGGCATCACCAGGAAAGAGGTACAGGTATGCCATTACTATGGAACGGAGTCTGTTGTGTAACTTACATTTGCTATAGCTAAGTTAAATTATTTCATCAACAGCTTCAGAAAAACAGAAGAGGTTGCTCAGCAAATAAGCTATCAGTATTCTGACAACTGGATGAACCACTTCAGCAGAACTGTAGAACAGGCATTGAATGTAGATCTCCTCTTCTAATTCAGCACTAAAAAAAGTAAGCAAGTATTACTAAACAACAAGAAAAATGAAAAGCTAGGGCCTAGAGTTTAAATAGCTGTGCTGTGTTTATGGAGTTAACAATTGTCCCAGTTTGCAAAAGGCTACAGAGATTACAACAGATGAGGCTTCTACAGCCTCATCTCTCTAGTTCAGAGATGARTAATAACTACATTCATCTAAGAACTCACAAAGGGAAAGCCTGACTGAGCCTAACCACAGTCAAGTATACCCAACAGGAATGCTAATCATTAGCTGCTCTTTACTCAACTACTCCAAAGAACAACAGAAGCATCTACAGTCCTTGTGGTCACCACCTCCTTTTTATTTTAAGAGKTGAAGGCAAAGATCCGGCAGTCCAGTTGCTGTGTGCATGATCACCTCCCTAAAGAGCCTTGGAGGAACTTGGGATGCGCAGACAACACAACGAAACCCTGGCTCCTGAGACTGATCATGAGACAAGGCCCCCAAAACCATTCCAGACTTGTGTTTTATCAGCTGACTCCACAAAAAGGCACACAGATTATATTCTGCATTAAGACAACTTTCAAATTCTTCTTCCTTTGGGGGAAGGTCTGATTTACAATTAAGCCTGTAAATCTGACCTCAATACAATAAAAAAATAAAAATTATGAATATATATACAAGAGCTGCTCTGGTGAATACTGCACTAGCATATGAAAACAGAGACAAATGGGACAAAAATACATTCTGGCACAACTTCAGCAGTAGTCTTAAACCTCCCAGCAAAAATACAATGCAAAACAGTATTCCAGAAGASCTTGCAGTGGAAAACACTCAAGCGAGCAGAACATTTCCTGTGAATGGAGCTATTTTTCCTCAGAAGACTGAAGGAAAAAAGGTGTAAATCAAATATCTTAGAACAGCTCTTCTTGCATATTCTGGTCTGATCCTTCTTTAAGGAAAGGATCATTTTTCACAAGGTTCCTTTAACAGTCACTTAGGCAAGGGACTTTTGCATGACTGCCTTCCTTCTGTAGTCTTAGCTTGCACCTCTGGCAAGTCCCAGCTCACTTGATTTGAACTGGGGGTCTGCTGGTCCTCTAGTAATCTTGGCCCCGCAGGAACAGCTCTGCACAACAAGGATGTGGCTCCCAGACACAAATACAGAAGCAACAAGAAGCCAAGCAACATCAGAATACTCATTGTTGTCKACACATGTGGATTACAACTCTTGATTTAGTCAATGTTGAAAGAAAAGCCATAGATCAGTCCCATTGGCATTGCTAATCTAAGCATTAGGATAAAAGAGTATGTTCTCTCAATACAGTAATATGGATATTGTCTGGAGGGCATTTGTCAATTGAGCACCTTCTGCATCTCATCCCACCAGAATCACAGAATGATTTGGGTTGGAAGGGATCCTTACAGATTGTCTAACTACAACCATCCTGTCCTGGGCAGGGACATCTTCCACTAGACCAAGTTGCTCAGAGCCCCATCCAACCTGGAGTTCGACACTTCAAGGGATGATGCACTCACAAGTTCTCTGGGCAACCTCTGCCGGACTTTCACCACCTTCACAGAAGAGAATTCCTTCCTAATAGCAAAGCTATATCTCCCTTTTTGAGCTTAAAGCCATTCCCTTCATCCTATCAATACACTCACTCACAAAACGTCCCTCTTCAGCTTTATGATAGAGACCCTTCAGGTACTAGAAGGTGCTCTAGCACCTTCAGGCCAGAGGTGCTTTAGCCCCGTGATCATCTTTATGGCCCTCCCCTCGGCTTGTCCAGTAAGATTAAATGCAACTTTTCAGAAGTACTTTGGCTTTACAAGAATACATATATTCTCACTACTAGGTTTATCCTAAATTTAAAGCACTAACCTGCACTGCCACTGCACCAGGGTGGAGTTAATGCCTCGGTGTACCAATCATTTGCTTTACGACTGTTGTTTACCCAAGAGTTAAATTAAATGTCTGACTAGAAAGAAGAAAGAAAAAAAAGAAAAAAAAAAACCCAAACAAAAAGCATACATTCAGAAACAATTAGTCTCTCAAATTYCCACAATGAACTTGCCCACACATGCACCCCAACTGAAAAACAAGAACAGATCACTGCTTTGCAATCTACCTAATTTCTACAGAAAGAACTAAACAATACAAATGGATTTAGAGAGCAACAGCTGAATACAAAAAATYTGAATTTTAGCCTAAAGACAAAAATACTATGAACACTATAACAACCTCTTACTAAGCAGAATACAGCACTTTTAAAGTCTAGTATTTTCAAAAATTGTCTCTTGACATTAAACCACATGTCCCAAGTATAACAAAAGTTAGTGTTCAGTT